GCGCAGCAAGGGTGCTGTCACTGAGGTGCTGATCGACTGGATCCGCGGGGCTCGTCTCCAGCTCAGGAGGAGCTTCGGCTCGGACTTTCCTGTTCTGCGTCTGCACTCTGACCGAGGTGGGGAGTTCTCCTCTCGCCTTCTGCGAGACTACTGTCGTGCACAGGGGATCCGCCAGACCTTTAAGCTTCCGGACTCTCCACAGCAAAATGGGATTGTTGAGCGCCGCATTGGCATGGTCATGGATGTCGCTCGTACGTCCATGATGCATGCGGCTGCCCCCCATTTTCTGTGGCCGTTTGCGGTTCGGTACGCGGCGCATCAGCTCAACCTTCACCCCAGGGTCTCTCGGCCCGCGATGTCCCCAGTGTTACTGTGGACGGGGAAGGTCGGCGATGCGTCTGCGTTCCGTGTCTGGGGATCTCGGGCGTTTGTCCGCGACTTGTCTGCGGACAAGCTGTCCCCCCGTGCTGCTCCCTGTGTCTTCCTTGGCTTCCCCCTTGACGCTCCAGGGTGGCAGTTCTACCACCCCTCCTCTCGTCGTGTTCTGTCCTCCCAGGACGTCACGTTCGACGAGTCAGTCCCCTTCTACCGCCTCTTCCCCTACCGTACTACTTCCCTCCCCCCCCCACCGGACTTCCTGGTGCCAGTTCCCCCCCCGGTAGACCCCCTCCCCCCTCAGGTTCCTGCCCCTTCAGGTGTGTCCCAGGTAGACACAGTCGAGCCAGTCGAGGTTGCTGCTGAGTCTGGTCCTGCTGCGGGTGCAGAGTCTGGGGGTGCTACGCCTGCGGGTGCTGAGCTTGGGGGTGCTGCTGCTGGGGGTGCTGAGCCTGGGGGTGCGAGGCCGGGGGGTGCTGAGCTTGGGGGTGCTGCTGCTAGGGGTGCTGAGCCGGGGGGTGCTACGTCAGGAGCTGCTGAGCCTGGGGGTGCTGAGCCTGGAGGTGCGGAGCCTGCGACTGCTGGGCGGGAGCCGCTCTCTCCACAGGAGCTGCGCGAGTGGTTTGCTCGCCGCTGGAGGCGTGCTGCTGGAGCTGGAGCTTCTTCGCTTGCTGAGGGTGCTGCCGGTCCCGGAGCTGCTGGGCCTGCGAGTCCTACTGGAGCTGGAGCTACTGAGTCTGGGGGTGCTGAGTCTGGAGCTGCTGAGCCTGGAGGTGTTGAGTCTGGAGCTGCTGAGCCTGGGGGTGCTACGTCTGGAGCTGCTGTGCCTGGGGGTGCTGAGTCTGGAGCTGCTGAGCCTGGGGTTTCTCCTGCTGCTGCGTCTCGCCGGGAGCACCTCTCTCCACAGGAGCTGCGCGAGTGGTTTGCTCGCCGTTGGAGGAGTGCTGCTGGAGCTGGAGCTTCGTCGACCGTCGAGGGTGCTGGTGCTGCCGGTCCCGGAGCTGCTGGGCCTGCGGGTCCTACTGGAGCTGGAGCTGCTGAGGGTGTTGGTGCTGAGACTACTGCTGTCTGTCCTGGCGGTGGTTCTGCTGCTGGTGCTGCTGGAGGTCCTGCCGCTGGAGGTGTTGGTGGCGCTGGTGCTGTCGCTGAGGGTGCTGGTGCAGTCCCTGCTGAGTCTGGAGCTGCCGCGCGGCCTCGGCCGTACTTCGTTCCGCTCCTACAGCAGGTTCTTGGTCTTTCTCCTTCGGTAGAGTGTCCACAGCCTGTCCAGTCGCAGTCACTGTTGGAGCCTTCCTCTCCTCTGCCTGCTCCCTCTCCTTACACTGGTCCTACTGGAGGTCTTACTGAGCGTCGTGAGCCTGCGTCTCGTCCCGCGTCGCCTGTTCGTGCTGCTCGCGCTAGTGGTCGCGGTTCGCGTCAGCGTCCTCCTCCTGTCCCTGGCACGCACCGGATGTCTCTGCGTCCGTCCACTGCTCCTCTGCGTGCCCCTTTGCCTTCTCCTCCTGAGTCCTCTCTTCCTGCGCTTGCCGACCCTGAGTCGGACTCTCTTCGCGCTGCCAGTCCTACTGTCACGCGTCTGCTTGCTACTGTCGTCACTGACCCCTCTTTTGAGTCCACTGCTGCGTCTGCTCTAGTCGCTGAGCTCGTTGACTTTGCTGCTCGCTGTCGTCTCGACTACGCTGCTAGTCTTGTTGCTGAGTCTGCGTCTGTCTGTCCTCCGTCCGTCGGGGGTGAGTGTGCTCTTGGCACGGACGTCCTTGAGGACAGGCAGGAGGAGTTTCAGTGTCTGGCTGCTGCTTCACCTCATCTCGCGTCTGTACTGCTTGCCCCTGAGGGAGACCCGGATGCACTAGACATCCCGACTCCGCGCTCTTACGCGGAGGCCGTAGAGGGTCCCTACTCCTCTCAGTGGCAGGCAGCTATGGATGCAGAGATGGCTTCCTGGAAGTCCACAGGCACCTACGTTGACGCGGTTCCCCCTCCTGGGGCGAACATCGTCAGTGGCATGTGGATCTTCAGGGTGAAGCGGCCGCCGGGCTCTCCACCTGTCTTCAAGGCACGGTACGTTGCTCGTGGCTTCAGTCAGCGGTAGGGAGTTGACTACTTTCAGACCTTCTCTCCCACCCCGAAGATGACCACTCTTCGGGTGCTGCTGCACATAGCCGCTCAGCGCGACTACGAGCTTCACTCTCTCGACTTCAGCACTGCGTTCCTGCAGGGTAGCCTGCACGAGGAGATCTGGCTGCGCCGTCCACCTGGATTCACTGGGACTTTCCCTCCTGGCACCCAGTGGAGCCTCCGACGGCCAGTCTACGGTCTCCGCCAGGCACCGCGTGAGTGGCACGACACACTGAGGACTACGCTTGCGGCTCTTGGGTTTGCTCCTTTTACTGCCGACCCGTCGCTGTTTCTGCGCACCGACACTTCACTGCCGCCGTTCTACATCCTCGTGTACGTCGACGACTTGGTCTTTGCCACAGCGGACACTGCTGGACTCGCCTACGTGAAGTCCGAACTGCTGAAGAGACACACGTGCACAGACCTGGGTGAACTGCGCAGCTACCTTGGCTTGCAGATCACTCGGGACAGAGCACGCCGCACCATTACCTTGACTCAGTCACACATGGTGCAGCAGGTCCTTCAGCGCTTTGGCTTCACGTACTCCTCGCCTCAGGCCACTCCTCTGCCTACTCGCCACTCACTCTCAGCTCTGCCTTCGGATGAGTCCGTAGAGTCGAGTGGTCCGTATGCAGAGCTTGTTGGCTGCCTCATGTACCTGATGACCTGCACACGACCTGACCTTGCATACCCTCTGAGCATTCTTGCACGCTATGTTGCTCCTGGGAGACACAGACCAGAGCACATGGCTGCAGCGAAGAGGGTATTGCGCTACCTGTGCAGTACGTCGGGCATGGGGCTAGTGCTTGGAGGGCGGAGTCCAGTGGTCCTTACCGGCCACGCGGACGCTTCTTGGGCTGACGACCAGGCTACGCAGCGGTCGTCACAGGGTTACACCTTCAGCCTTGGTTCCGGCTCTGTCTCGTGGCGGTCTACTCGCTCGTCTTCGGTTCTCGGCTCCAGTTGTGAGGCTGAGATCTACGCCGGGGCCATGGCTGCACAGGAGCTTCGCTGGCTCACCTACCTGCTGAGTGACCTTGGAGAGCCACCTCGTTCTCCTCCAGTGCTGTACGTAGACAACAAGGCCATGCTGGCCTTGTGTCGAGAGCAGCGCTTGGAGCACAGAACGAAGCACATTGCTCTCCGCTACTTCCTTGCTCGTGAGCTGCAGCAGCGTGGTCAGTTGCGACTTGCGTACGTGGCCTCTGAGGCCAACACTGCTGATGTGTTCACCAAGGCACTCGCGCCTTGTGACCATCAGCGCTTTTGCACCCAGCTGGGTCTTGTGCCTGTCTTGCCTCACTTGCTCTCCTCTTGACTTCACTTGTACTGTGACATATATATATACCTGCTCTTGCTTGTCTAGTTTTATATATATGTCTGTACTCCTGCATGTGAACTGGCCTCTGGCCCTGCTCTTGTGCTCGGACTGTGTGGTGACTTTGTGATCCACCCTGAGCTTGCTTTGCTTTGCTTGACTGGTCTTGTGACCCCTTGTTCTCCCCCACTTTGCCTATGGGGGTGTGTCAAACATTATATATGTTCTGCTTGTGTAGGCTACAGTGGGTTAGCCTATAGGGGGTACACAATTCTAGGGTTTCCTACTTGTACTCATTTCACTGCTAGTTCATACATTCCTGTTCGCTCATTCTCACATGTTACACGTTGTGATGACTTGATTGGCTCATGAAGTAGAGACGAAAACACTTACTTCGTATCCATGTGTAACGAGACAATTTGCAATTTGGCGAAACGACATCCTACGGTATATCTTCCTTCCCAGCAGCTTCAGAACGGCTTCAGCTTGGACTGGGGATCAACCAGAAGTTTGCTGATCCGTTTTGACTCAGAATCAACTCTAAACAATCATACCAAACAATACTGGTGTTTGGAATGTCTGAAAAAAACAGTCAAGACTAGGGCACGCCCCGTTCTTAGCTATCGGTAGTCGTGCACTGCAAACACATTCGAAGTAACCCCATCCATGGCTTATAACAAGCATGCCTCTATCGAATATGCATTAAACAAACCGGCCTCTCTTGAACATGCCTTTGGCTCATGTCTTGGGAACGAGAGGCCACGGGTATCCCTTAGCCCAATCGTGACCTTTGGGTAGTCCGTCCAAGCACTGGTGGTTGCAGGGGCGGGAGGGGGGCAGAAAATGATGTCTTAATGTGCACTGCACACACACTTGGAAACCAGTGCCTTTGCCTCATGTCTTGGGAACAAGAGGCCACGGGTATCCCTTAGCCCAATCGTGACCCTTCGGTAGACCGTCCAAGCACTGGTGGTTGCCGGGGGAGGGTGGATTGGGGAGGGAGGGTGGGTTTCAGGGCGGGAGGGTAAGAGGGGTTAGACATTTAAAAAAATGCTCAAATGATTCCATGATGACCAGACAACATGCACGACTCACACGCACACACACGCATGACGGACACACCATGCACATCTGAAGAAGCTTGTTCCAAGCAGCGAGCAGAACAAAACAAGAGCAATCAAATTCAAATTCAGACAAGAAGAATCTGCAGCCATACCTGGAAAGGGATGAAGTTTCGCCAATAACGGTAACCCTTCTTGGGCGGCGGCGGCGGATTCCCCGTGATCTGTACAAAATCCGATACGATTTCCGCCGGTGGGATCATAACCATAACTCCCGGCACCCCCGGATGCCTGAAAGCCGGCACACCCACCCCAGCACCTTTCCTCCCTCCCCTAGAACTCGCATTATGCCCCCCACCACCACCAGCAGCAGAACCAGCAGCAGAGTTAGCTGCGGCTGCTGCGGCGGCGGCGGCAGCAGCAGCAGCAGCACCGGCCACCCAGCCTAAATCCATGGATCGCCATGTTCGCTTTTCTACCCTCTCTGCTATTCTTGAGCTTCGTCTCCTCTTTGGTACTGATCCTGGTGCTCCTCCTGCTGCTCCCCCGGCTCCCCCTGCTCCTCCCCCTGCTCCTCCCCCTGCTCCCCCCCCTGCAGACCCAGCTGCCGCGGCAGTAGCTGAAGGAGATGAATTTGCAAATACCCCTAATCCCGTTCCTCCTAGTCCCCCGGATAACCCTGCTAGAAACCACTCAGACCCACCCATCCCCAACCCTCCCTCCGCCTCCCCTTCATCCTCCTCCATCCCCATCCCATTGTCCTCCTCCCCATCCTCCCCATTCCCATACTCCCCAAACATCCTCCTGCGTTTCCGAGCCTCTTTCCTCCTCATCCGAACCTGTCCCTCCCTGTAATCCCCAGGGAAATCCTCCTCCGAGTCTTCATCAGAGCCTTCTCCCGAGCCTCCTCCCGAGCCTCCCTCCACCCGCTCCTTACCTCTCCTTCTCCTCTCCCTCTCCCCCCTCCCACCCTTCTCCTCTCCACCTTCCCTTTCCCACTCTCCCCTAACGCCTCCATTCCCATGCTCGCCTGCCCCCTCTCTTCTCTCTTCCTCCATCCGTCCCTCCGCAATCAATTCCCGCCTATCTCTCCTCACTAGAGAATCGAATCGGATCTTGTCTGAATTTTGCCAAATCCCAACCCCTCCTCTCCTCTTCTCCCCATCTCTCTCTTCCTTCTCCTCCTCCTTGCCCCCCTCCTCCTCCTCTCTCTGCTCCTCTGCTTGCTCCTCTGCCTGCAGAGAAGCAAGCACAGTTCGATCCACATCCACAAGTCGCCTCTCTCTCTCCTTCTCCCTCTCTTTCTCCTTTTCCTTCTCCCTATCTTTTTCCCTCTCCCTGTCCCTCTCCCTCTCCTTGTCCTTCGTCTTATGCTTGACCTTCTCCTTCTCTCTCTCCCTCTCCGTTCTCTCCTTCTCCCCTCTCTCATCCCCCCTTCTCTTCTCCATCTCCTGTTCCTCCAAAACCTCACTCACCAAACCAGTACCTCTGCCTGCTGCCCCTCCTTCTCCTCCTGTTTCTGCTCCTGCTGCTCCCGCAGAAATTCTCAACCTGCCTTCTTCCTCCTCTGCCGATCTACCATCCCTCCGCTCCTCGCCTCCCTCCACTCTCCCATGCTTCTTCAGCTTCTTCTCCCTCCTCTCCTCCCCTTCATGCTTCCCTTCCCTCTTGCTCTCCCCCTTCTCTTCCTTCCTCCCTTCAACCTTACCCTCTCCCTTACCCTCCCTTCTTTCCTCCCCTTTCTCCCCCCCTCTCCCCTCTCGATCCTTCTCATGCCTCTTCTTTTTTTTCTTCTTCCCCTCCTTGTCCCTTTTCCCAACCCCCTCTCCTTCCACCCCCTTCTCCTTCTTCCCCACTCCTCCCGCACTCGCCCTCTCCCTCTCCCCCTCTCCCTCCTTCCCCTCCTCAAGGCTCCTACCAAAACCGTCAATCTGCATTCCCAACGCACCATTCGCAGCACGAGCAGCAGCAGAGGCAGCATCACCAGAAGCAGCACTACCAACAGCAGCAGCGCCAGCGATCCCACCCTTACTATACGCCCCCTGCTCTTTCTCCTTCTCTTTCTCCTTCTCTTTCTCCTTCTCTTTCTCCATCTCCTTCTCTTGCATTTGCTCACGACCCGAAAACACCATCGGAGGATGGAGAAGCGATGAGGGAGGCAGGGACAGGAGAGGTTTCGAAGACTGCCAATCAGCCTCCCTCCTTTCCACCACCAAGCCACCCCCCTCCTTTCGGCGAACCCCATCCTCGGATCGAGCAGCCAGGCCATTGCCAACCAGCACATTTTCCTGTGCTGCCAACAGAGACCGCCGTGACAGAAGGGGTGGCACCAGACCAATCTTTCTATCCTCGAATTCTCCCCTTGGCTCTTCCAGATTCGAGTCAAAAGGTTGATTGAAAGGCACTGTCGGTTCCATACCCGGCTGCTGCATGCCCCTGTTGTTGCTGCTGCTTGGGAGAGGAAGCTTCTCAGAAGGTTCAGAAGGTTCTGCTGCAAGAGGCAGAAGCTCATCCATGCCTGCAGGGGCTACCCCGACCCACCCGTTCGCCGCCTCCAGTTTCCTGAGGGGGCAAGAGAAAAAGGGAGATCAGGAGAGAGGCGGGGGGGGGGGGGGGGGGGGGGAGGGGGGGGGGGGTACGAAGGGGACCGAGGCAATGAGCAAGATTCATCAGCAGAAGCTCATCCATGCCTGCAGGGGCTACCCCGACCCACCCGTTTGCCGCCTCGAGTTTCCTGAGGGGGCAAGAGAAAAAGGGAGATCAGGAGAGAGGCGGGGGGGGGGGGGGGGGGGGGGGGAGGGGGGGGGGGTACGAAGGGGACCGAGGCAATGAGCAAGACTCATCAGCAGAAGCTCATCCATGCCTGCAGGGGCTACCCCGACCCACCCGTTTGCCGCCTCGAGTTTCCTGAGGGGGCAAGAGAAAAAGGGAGATCAGGAGAGAGGGGGGGGGGGGGGGGGTACGAAGGGGACCGAGGCAATGAGCAAGATTCATCAGCAGAAGCTCATCCATGCCTGCAGGGGCTACCCCAACCCACCTGTTCGCCGCCTCTAGTTTCACGCTCATCCGTGCCTGCAGGGGCTACCCCGACCCACCCGTTTGCCGCCTCCAGTTTCCTGTGGTATCATAGACAAATCAACCACAGTGCACACCTTCTCTTCTTCATAGGCAGTTGGGGCGGGGGTTGCCCCGTGATCGCCCTGAAATCCTCCTCCACCTCCTCCGGAGTGAGAGTGATCGACACACGCACGCACGGCCGCTGTGTTATAAGCCGACTCAAAACACAATTTAGAAACACGTGAGCCCACCTTCTCTTCTTCATAGGCAGTTGGGGCGGGGGTTGCCCCGTGATTGCTCTGAAATCCGCCTCCACCTCCTCCGGAGAGAGAGTGATCGACACACGCACACGCGGCGGCAGCACTGGGGGAAGAATGTCACGTGGCGGCGCCAACTCCTTCCAGGAAGGTTCCTCACTCGAGGAGTCCAGGCGTGGCGGCAGCACAGGGGGAGGGACGTCATGTGGGACCAGCTCCTGCCGGGAAGGTTCCTGAGTCGAGCCAAAACGGAAGCCCTGGGACTCCAAGCAAGGATCTTCTTTAGTTGACTTGAGAGGCAGTGCTTGGGAATCCACGCAGGGAGGCGGCACAGTTGGAGGCAGGTCACGCGGCGCCAGCTCCTTCCGAGAATCTTCTTGTGATGACTCGAATGCACTCTTAGGCAGCCCTACAGAAGGAGATTTTTGCAGATTTTGTCTCGAGTCGATGGGGAGGGGTTGAGAGACTAGAGGAAGGTCCTGAGGCTCTAGGAACGGAGGTGCTAGGGAGAGGTTGAGAACAGGAGCGGTGGAGTGAGGGATGGAGGGTTTTTGAGGCGCCTTGGGTTTAGGCTCGGAGGATAGGTCCGGCACAGATTTGGATGGGAGGTCAGGGGCAGGTGCGGTGGAGTGAGAATTACAGGAACGGGGAGGAGGAAATTCAGGTTTGGGGAGGTGGGAAGTGGAAGGGTGGGAGGTGGGAAGGTGGGCGGAGGAGGGACGCGGAAGAGATGACGCAAGGGGAGGGATCCCTGGGAAGGGGATGATTGCTGCTGAGTCTTTCCCAGTTGACTCAATTGTTCTTGTTGCTGGTGGTTCAGCTGGTGGTTTAACAGCAGTAGCTGAAGCAGCAGGTTCTGCTGCTGCTGCTGCTGCTGCTGTCGATTCAAGTGCTGTTGAAACTACTGCTGCTGCTAAATCAACTCCGGCTGTAGAGGGAGGGGTGATTGCAGGAGGGAAGGCAGACGCAGCAGCTGCTGCTGTCTCAACTGCTGCTGCTGTTGCCTCTGATGCGATCCTAAGAACTCCTTTTTGAACCTCAGCCTTTGAATCTTGTGGTATGCCTGTTGCTGTATGGACTGCTGCTACTGCAGCTGTGTCAGCTGCTGAGTTCTCTGCCATCTTTGGTGTTGCTGCTGGTGCCCCTGCCATCGCCAGAGTGGCTGCTGTTACAGCCTTTTTACCTTGTGGTACGGATGTTTCCGTAGCAGGAGGGATGGCGGCTGTAGCAGGAGAGATGGCAGATGAAGCAGGAGCGGTGGCAATAGTACCAGGATGAGGAGTGGCAGCCGTGGCAGCAGCAGTGACAACTGTATCAGGAGGGGTGACGGCATTAGCAGGAGCGATGGCGGCTGTAGCAGGAGAGATGACAGATGAAGCAGGAGGGTTGGCAACAGTACCAGGATGAGGAGTGGCAACCGTGGCAGCAGCACTGGCAACTGTATCAGGAGGGGTGACCGCATTAGCAGGAGCGATGGACGGCTGTAGCAGGAGGGATGGCAGATGAAGCAGGAGAATTGGTGGGTAATTCAGAAGGTTTGGCAGCTGCGGCAGAAGGGGTGGCGGCTGTAGCAGGGGAAATCGCAGCTGTAGCAGAAACGGTGGTAGCTGGATCAGAAGGGGGGAGAGATGTGGCAGCGGGAGTGGCGGCTGCAGCAGGAGGATTAACAACTGTAGCAGGAGGCTTGGCAACCGTGGCAGGAGCAGTGGCAGCTGTAGCAGGAGGGGAAACAGCTGTAGCAGGAGGGGAAACAGCTGTAGCAGGAGGGGTGGCAGATGCAGTAGAAGCAGCAGCATTTGCAGCAGGGGGTTTGGCAGCTGTAGCAGGAGCGGTAACAGCTGTAGCAGGATGGGTGGCAGATGTAGCAAGAGGAGATTTGGCAGCTGTAACAGTAGGGGTGACAGCTGTCGCAGGGGAGGTGGCGGCTGTAGCAGGAGCGGAGGCAGCAGTGGTAGGAAGAAGGGAGACTGAAGCAGCAGGAGTCGCGGCTGTCGCAGGGGATGTGGCAGATGCAGCAGGAGGAGACGTGGAAGAGGGGGTGGAGGCTGTAGCACGGGGGGTGATGGCGGCTGTTACAGAGGGAGTGACGGCGGCTGTAGCAGCAGGGAGGGGAGACGCAATAGATGGTGTGAGAACAGCAGCAGGAGAACTGGCCGGAGTTGGGGCAAGGGAAGTAGCACCTGTAGCAAGGGCGGGTGGCGGCTGTGGCAGGAGAAATGGCGGCTGCAGCAGGGGGAGTGACGACTGTAGCTCTGGCAGTGGATGCTGTTTTCACAGAAGCAATCCCTGCAACAGCAGCAGCAGCAGCAGCAGCAGCAGCAGTAGTGGCGACTACTGTAACAGTACTATTAGTAGCAGCAGTGGTAGTAGTCACAATGGCTTTAGCAGGAGAATCATCAGCAGCACAAGCAGCAGTGGTGGTGGTGGGTTCAGCGGGAGGAATTTTTGCAGCAGCAGCAATATTAAGAGGAGGAGGCAGAGCAGGGGCTGATGCAAGGGCCGAAGCAGGGGCAGCAGAGGGAGAAACAACAGAAGGAGAAGAAACCGTAGCAGCACGGGCAGGAGTAGAAGAAGCAGCAGGGGCAGGAGCAGGCGCAGTTGGAGGAACAGCAGCAGCAGGAGAGGCAGCAGTGGCAGAAGCAGCAGCAGCAGCAGCAGCAGCAGGAGCAGGAGCAGGAGCAGGAGCAGGAGCAGAAGCAGGAGCAGGAGCAGAAGCAGGAGCAGGAGCAGGAGCAGGGATAGCAGTTGTAGCAGGTGTAGCATCGGCTGCAGGGGTGGACACTACAGTGGGAGCAAGGGAGGGAGCTGAAACAACAGGGAATGATGCAGAAGCGGCAGCAAGGGTACAAGCAGGGGCAGCAACAGAGACAGGAGCGGGGACAGTAGCAGCGGCAGAAGCAGGGACAGAAACAGGTGCAGAAGCAGAGGCAGAAGCAGAGACAGGAGCAGAGACAGAAGCAGAGACAGTTGCAGGGGCAGAAGCGGGGACAGAAGCAGGGGCAGAAGCGGTGACAGAAGCAGGGGCAGAAGCAGAGGCAGAAGCAGAGACAGCTGCAGGGGCAGAAGCAGGGGCAGAAGCAGGGGCAGAGGCAGGGGCAGAAGCAGAGACAGGAGCAGGGACAGCAGCAGGAGCAGCAGGTTCAGCAGCAGAGGCAGGGGCAGAAGCAGGAACCGCAGCTGGAGCAGTTGTAGCAGCTGTTGCAGCAGCGACGGCTGTAGCAGGAGGACCCACTGGAACAGGCGGAGCCCTAGCTTCAGGAAAGGATGAAGAAGATGCTGTTTGGACTGCTGTAGCGGCTGTGGTGGCAGTGGTGGCTGTAGCCGCAGCAACAACAACAGCAGCAGCGGCAGCAGGGGCAGAAGCCGAAGCAGCTGCAGCAGCAGCAGAAACGCCACTAGCTGCTTCTGGGGATGAAACCATGACTGGGGTCATAGCTACAGCCCCACCAGATGCAGCATCTCGGAAGAGCTTTACTGCCTCTCTCCCCTTCTCCTCCTCTCTCTTTCCGGTCTCCCTTTCACTTCGGCCCTTACCTCTTCCCAACTCATCTCCCCCCTCTCCCTTATCCCCTTCCTTAACCTGCTCTCTTTCCCCTGCTACTGTCACATCAGCCAACCCCTTTTTCCCTTCGTCCATATCACCACCCTTTGAAAGCACACGCTCAGGCTCAGCTCTTAATTGCTGCCCCTCACCATCCAAGCCCGCTTCTCCCGTCAACCCCTTCTGAACATCCTTTTTCTCCTTGCTCTCCTCCTTTGGTTCAGCACGCTCCTGTCTCTGCCCATCCCCAACCCCTGATTTCGCTCCTGCTATCTTCTTTGGCCACGTCGCCCCACCTCCCTTGAATTGAGCATGCTCCTGCTCCTGACCATCCCTATCCTTTCCAAGCTTCCCCTTTTCCTCTTGATTCGACTCGCAAGTCACCTCGCCTTCCTGTTCACGCATCCCCTTCCCCTCCTCCCCACGCACACCACCGCTGCCCGTCGTCTCATTCTGCTGAGCCACTGCTTCTGGCGCTTCCTGCTTTGCCTCCTCCTTTCCTTTCTCCTTTGCAATCTCCTCTGCTTTCGCCTTTGCTGTTTCCGCTGCTTTCCCCGTTGTATTCCCTTCCACTTCCTTGATTTTCTGCCCCACCTTCGCCTCTTCTTTCTCCTCCGTGATTTCCCCCATCCATGCTTTCTTCTCTGATTTCTCCTCTTCTTTCTCCTCCGTGATTTCCCCCATCCATGCTTTCTTCTCTGATTTCTCCTCTACTTTCTCCTTCGCCTCTTCTTTCTCCTCCTTGCCCTTCCCCATCCCTCCTTTCTCCTCTGCTTTCTCCTTCGCCCCTACATTCTCCTCCTTGCCCTCCCCCGTCCCTCCTTTCCCCTCTGCTTTCTCCACCCTGCTCTCCACCGTCCCTCGTTGCTCCCCTTGTCTCACTCCCTCCCTCCTCTCCTCCTTCACTTGGTCACTATCTTTCAACCCCTCCTTCTCCCCCACGTTCTTTTCCTCTCTCACCTCTTCTCTTCCCTCTTCTCTATCTCCTTTCTCATCATCACCCCCCTTCCCCTTCCCCTTATTCTCCTCCCTCCCTTCCCCTTTCCTCGCCTCCCTCCTCTCCCTCTTCTCCTTCCTCTTCCTCTCCTTCCTCTCCTCCCTCCTCCTACCCTCATCCTTCTCATCCTTCCCCTCCTTCTTCCCCTCCTTCCCCCCCTCTCTCCTCCTCTCCTTCTCCTCCTTCTCCTTATCCTCCCTCTTCCTCTTCGCCTCCTTCCCTTCCTCACTCTTCTCCCCCCGCCCTTCCACACTCCTCCTCCTCTCTCCCTCCTCCAGACTATTCACCCCCGGACTGGCCATACTCGCTATAGACTGACCCGGGCTTCCTTTTGAACAGCCGTCCATATTCACAGACATGTCAATACTCCCTCTAACCTGATCTGAGCTTTCGACCGGCTGTTCAGCATATTTCACACCCTCAACAGGGCTCCGTACCCGTTCCCCAAGTCTCTTCTCCTCAGGACTCTTAAAATCGGCAGGACTCTGCAATTTTCCAGGACTCTGTAAATCGCCAAGACACTTTTTTTCCCCAGGAATCTGTAACTCACCAGGAGTCATTGTATCGCCAGGACTCTTTTTCTCCTCAGGACTCTGAAAATCGCCCGGGCTCCTCAAAACCTCCGGACTTCTCATATTATCAAGGCTTTTGACTTCATCAGGACTTTTCATAGCATCCTTTAAGGGCTTCGCTCCTGGATCGGGGCTCATCATGCAGTGCTCAGGGCTCTTAAAGCCCTTCTCTCTGACCTCCGATCCTTTTCCTGAGTGTCCCGGGCTCAAAAGAGGCTGCTCACTCCTCTTCTCCCGCTTCTCTTCCTTTTCCCTCTTCTCCTTCTTCTCTTTCCTCTCTTTCGACTTCACATCCTGTCCTTCCTCGGTCTTCCTCTCCTTCCTCTTCCCCTCTCCTTTCTCCTCTGCTCTCCTTTCCTCCCTCCTCTCTCTCTTCTTCTCTTTCCGCCTCTCCTCGTCCTTTTCATCCCTCTTTCTCCTCTCTTTCTTCCTCTCCTCTTCATCTCCTCTCTTCTCCCTCTTCTCTGGTCTCTCTTCGCCTCGGCTCACCTCTCCTGTCTCATCCTTCCCCTTCTCTTCTTTCTTCTCATCCTTCACCTTCCCTTCCTTCTTCTCATCCTTGTCCTTTTCTTCCTTCCTCTTTTCGTCCTTCTTCTCCTTCCGCTCTCCATCCTTCTCTTTCCTCCTCTCCTTCTTTTGTTCACCCCCCTCCCTCTTCTCCTCCCTCTTATCCTTCTCCTTCTCCTTACTCTTCTTCGTCTCTTCCTCCTGAATCTCTCCTTCCTCCCCTGCTTCAACGCCTCTTCCTTTCTCCTTCCCCTTTTTGCACTCGTCAGCAGCAATCTCTCCCTCCTCCTCCTCTTTTCTCACAATCTCCTCTTTCCTTTCGTTCTCCTCTCTCCTCTCCTCTTCATTCCCCACTTTCTGTTTCCCCTCCCCCTTCACCTCACCACGATTCACTTCCTCCTTTTCCCTCTCCTCGCTCTTCTCTCCCTTCTCTTTCTTCTCCCCCCCCTCTTCCTCATGCCCTTTTCTCTTCTCATCCCCCTCCTCGATCTTAGCCCTCGTCTCCCTTCCTTTCTTCTGCAGATCCTCCTTCCCTCCCGTTCCCTTCCCCTCCTCCCTCTTCTCCTTCTTCTCTTTCTTCTCCTTCCCGTCCTTTCCCCCATTCTCCTTCCCCGCCTCCACCGTCGCCCCTTTCTCCTTCTCCTCCTTCCCTTTCCCTCTATCCTCCTCCCGCTCCTTCCCATTTCCCCTCGCATCCTTTCCCTCCTTCTCCTCCTCCCCTCCTTTCCCTCGCTCCTCCCTCTGTCCCTCCGCCTTCCCTTCCTTCGTTTCCCGTCGCTCCTTCCCCTCCTCCTCCCCTCCTTTCCCCTTCTTTCCGCCCGTCTCCTTCTCCTTCCTTGCGCCTTCGCTCGTTGTCTTTCCCAGTCCCACCATACCAATCACCTTCCCATCCATCCCTTGCTTCCCTCCCTCTTTCCCTTCTTCACCTCTCCCCCCGCCCTTCGGGTTCTTTCCCTTTCCATCCTTGTCCTCTCTCTCCCCCTTATCGCCTTTCGTCGTCCCCCCTTTATCACCTTTCATTGTCTCCCCTTTATCGCCTTTCACCGCCTCCTCTTTATCGCCTTTCAACGTCTCCCCCTTACCACCTTTCATCATCTCCCCTTTATCGCCTTTCATCGTCTCCCCTTTATCGCCTTTCACCGTCCACCCCTTATAACCTTTCAACGTCTCCCCCTTATCGCCTTTCACTGCCTCCCCCTTATCGCCTTTCACCGCCTCCCCTTTATCACCTTTCTCCCTCCCTCCCTTCTCAGCCTTCTCCTCCGCTTCTTGATCCCCTTTTTCCGGCCCTTTACTCCCTAACTCCTTCCTCGATTGCTTCTCTTCGCCTAACTCTTTAGTCTCCACGTCAGCATGATTTCCGCTCATCATGGCTGAATCTCCGGATGCGTTACAATCACCATCAATGCCACGCGCGGAGTTTCCCCTTCCGGACAGTTGAACACTCCCGCGACTTGCTTCCATGTATACGCGTTACAATCCGGGTGACTCGTTGTAAGACCGCTGTCTCGGTATAAGCTGGTTGACTTCTCCGCTAAGCACGCGACCACAGCTGCGGCGTAGAATGGTTACTTCTCTTCTTTACCGAGAGGACTAATAAACATGTCATCTGTTGGCTGAGACTATCGAACACTCGTCTCCTTACTTCCCGGCGGGCGTTCGGGCTCTTGGAATATAAAGCACGAGTCTCAATCGATGCGCGAAGCTTTTTCCTAATAGAGTCGATGCAAGCCGACACGGGCGATAAAAACGACTGACGGCGGCCAGGGCTCGCGACGGGTAACAACGTTACTGCTGTCATTCAGATCCGCGTCCGGACGAACGGCGAGAGATTTCTCTACCGCAAATACGGCCAATGCGTACAGAGATTACGGACAGACGGAGGCAGAAATAACGGACGCAGCTACGCAGGGGCTGCAGACGGAAAACGTGACGAGTCTGATGAAGATGGACGGACTGGGAGTTGTGTGGAGAAAGGAAATCCCAAGGGAATCCGCAACAGAACGAAAAGCTTCCCTTGCGATTCTCTCGGCTTTGATGGCAGGGGAGGGGGGAATTCTCAAGGGCAGGTTGTGGTCCAGCAATTATGGCATTTCACGCATAATGTTTTGATGAACACTGTACTCGTAAAACTCGACCAGATTTCATACAGTATAGCGGGTATGCTCCTGAGTGATTCCAAGAGTTGGATATGTCAGATCCGCCAATCCCGAGGGTTTCGGGGACTCGCAGCTCATGTGAAATGGCGCCAATCATCGCACTACAAATGAAGTGTGTTTCATACATTGCACAAGTCAATTTTGATTTTAAATACACTTAAGTGCATGACTTCAATGGATATGCTGGTGCAAATGGTACAACCATCCAATGCAGACCATATGAACATGAAGCGCAGAAAGAACACTGAAATCTGCAACACACAAATGACAACCAAGTATAACTAATGGGCATACTTCACTTTTCATGCCCAATCAAAGATTGTCACTGTCAGGTAGACACCATCCTTCTATGCTCGAGCTGCAGTTCCGGTCTAATGTCAATTGAACATGCCAGCTGAGGGGTCTGTCACGTCATGTCATATCACCTGTGATGTGATGATCCTTCCGCCGCTTATTACGTACTTGAGAGTATTCATCACTTCACGGTTTGAGGTTGAATGGGTCGCTGACCTGGTGGTACCACAAATCCAGCCACACATCTGGAACTCCTGGCAAGCACCACTTAGCACAGTCCATTTCCGTCGAACCTCCCGCCGGTCTATACGTCCCCACGTGTGCATCCGCCCTATAGAGCGACAGCGACAAGATGTTAAGCAGCTTCACCCGAGATTTCGATAACGCATTGATTTGCGCGTTGGTCCACGCGACAACGCTGCTCCGCGCCTTGGCTAGATCCGTGGCTGTACTCGACAAAGGTCCCGCGAAAAGCGCACAAGTGGTGTCGGCGTATTGGAACATGTTTGGCATGTGCGCGGGCGGGATGGAGAGCGCGTAGGGCTGAACCAGCATGACGTTGGACTTGATGTAATCTGCGATGTTCCGCAGCACTATGTTGAGTGCCGCGATGCCGCTGGGCTGCGAGGCAATCGCCCGGCCCTTGCTGTAATACGTGCGGTTGGAGGATTCCTGGAGGAGGAGAGGGATGGGGAGAGGAGGGGGGGAGGGTGGGGAGGGGAGGAAGGGGGAACAAGGGGGAGGAGGTGGGGGTAAAGATTTGAGTTTAGGCAGAGAGTGAGCGGGCTGGGGGGATGGAGAGCGCGTAGGGCTGAACTAGCATGACGTTGGACTTGATGTAATCTGCAATGTTCCGCAGCACAATGTTAAGAGCAGCGATGCCGCTAGGCTGCGAGGCAATCGCCCGGCCCTTGCTGTAATACGTGCGGTTGGAGGATTCCTGGAGTGCATGTGGGGAGTGGAGGAGGGGAGGAGGGGGGGAGGAAAGGGGAAAAGAGCAGGAGGAAGAGGGGGGTGGGGGGGAAGGGGTAAGGGGGGAAGGGGAGGGGGTGTGGGTGTGGGAGGGGATAGTCTCAGGTGTCGCCTAACAGCTGCGAATTTGGAATTAGAAACAATAGGGAGTATTATGGAGAATAGTAGGAACAGTGAATAAGAATGTTGTCCTCCTAAGGACTTGCAACTTTACCAACGACATGGAGTCTGAGGCGCGTCACAAGGGATCACACACGAATCAGGTTCCAAGACCTGTCATCTGAAATCTTGTAACTCAACGGAACACATGTGATGATGATAATCACGGAATGAGGAAGTTCAAGGGCTTGTCTCCAGGCTTACCGCATAGTAAGAGCCAGCCACGAGGATGGATCACCTCCTTCTTTTCTCGGGTTAACAAAAAGTCCACGACGACATGTCATGACACGAGAATGAGGAAGTTCCAAGGGCTTGATTCCAGGCTTACCGCGTAGTAAGAGCCGGCCACGAGGATGACTGATCGCAGCCCTTTGAGTGTTTCTGTTAGCTTGTGGTTGATTTTGTCCACGTGCACCATCCATCCATCCTTCACAGATCGCTTCAACTGATGTTGGATGGGGAAATGGGAGGAACGAAAGCAGATTTCGACTGGTTTAGGCGAGCTAACAGTGAGAACTCGCATACGGGATTTTCTCGAAAACGAATGGGAAACAACAGCCAACAGCGGAACTTAGAATAAGAAAACTGTATAAACGAGAAAGGGTGCATATTACAGTGCACCTTCTGCAGAAGTTATTATAGGAGGGATTCTCTTACCGGGTCCATTGGATCCGCTTCGGTGAGGAACGGTGCGTGCACGAACACGACCTTCACCCCCCAAGGCTTGACCTTGAAACCATCGCCGGTCCAGCCAATCGTAGACGGATTGAAACTCTGCAGGGAAAAAGAGGCGGGAAGCATAATTGCTTAACAATGTAGCAAGAGCGATGCGGGTCAGTCACAGTAGCGAAAAGCGTTTTCATGTATTGTGGGAATAGGGTGTCATGCTGGGCTAAGCACACTTTCTCTTAGAATTGTCATGCGTTTTCATGTATTGTGGGAATTGGGTGTCATGTTGCTTGATTACAGATAATTCCTTCCTTCCAGTTCTTACCTCGGTCTTAAAGTTCGCAGCTTCTAGGCGACATCTGAGCGACTGGTACATGTACAGCCCAGAATTGTCGCCCACGATCGCCACGGCCTGGCCAACGAAAGTCATCGCGAATTTCTTCGCGTCAAACCGAACCAGCTTGCAACCCGATGGCTTCCACTCGAAGTGGCGAAAGTCGCCGTCCGGTCGCCCGTTTTTTTCGCAGTTAAACTCCTGGCTAATGTACGGACACGAGGAATCGTATACCGGGTACTTGGTCGACGGGGCCCAGCTGTAGTTGGGAAGGGTGTAAAACAGGGGGTGGATGTTGATGAAAGATACATAGAAACAAGTGGGGGAAGCAGGGATGGGAAGAGTGAAAAGGGGATGGCGGATTTCGGGTTCCGGTTGGACGCAGGGACGGGCTGTCTCGCGTACGAGATTGGTGTATCGGGCGGCAGACTTATCACCTCTTGCCCATGCAATACTTAAAACTGAACAGAGAGGCCTGACAACGCTACAGGTCCGCCAGCCGCTTACCTCCCGACGGAGAGGTCACATGCCTTCTTCTTCTTGCCGCCAAACCCGGGAAATCCGGCATATGCCACGTGGAGGCACACCAGGAGAAGCGCGCCGATGAGGATAGTTCTGACAGGCCGCATCATGCTCGCAGTATAGATTCCCTTCTGGTAATATGGTAACCCTATCGGCGAAAGCGTGAGAGGAGATTTTGGCCTTCACACGAAAGTGCCGCAAGCGAAAGGGAAGGCTGTACGCGTTACAAGTATGCGAGCGCGCGAGGGCTGTGATGCCTACGTACGAAGAGTTCCGCTTAGCTGGTAGGGCGCCGGTGCTTTGAACCGCCTTAGCTGATCGTTTTGGTTGCAAAGGATCGTTTTGGCTGCAAAGGGATGCTCGCCTGTAAACTACCAGTTCCAAACAGCTAGGGGCGAAGATCGGCAATCAAGTGCTTCCGCAGCAACTGGGAATGATAGTTACTATCGTTGCCTCTAAGAGTCAGCGAGAACAGTATATCTGAATGGCAGTGTTAGCTGGCGAGAGAACGCATGCATTACAACTTCACTGAAGCGGTGAAGGGCTATCGCAAGAAATTCATTCTTGCTGAAGTGCTACGCTTAAGAGGTAGTAAGCATGAGCGCGAGCCCAAGAAATTTACACAGCCTACGGCGAATGATTCTTGAAAGTGATGGGAGCCGGAGTGTAGTGACAAAACGTGCGAAAGGTATGGGGGAGGAAGAGCAAGGGTGCACTGCTGGCTTCCTTGGCAACGGCAGAAAAAATTGGCGGGGGCGCAATTTTGCGAGAGAGGGGTGAAACGTGATGCCTGAAATGTGGATTGAATAGTTGCGACGTTTCAAGCCTGGATTATTAAGATGGGTGGATCTAGTCGACATGATTGGAAAGGTGGATTGTCATCTGTCGGTGGGGTTCGTGGATGCTGGTATTCAGTGACCTACACGAAGAAGGAGCTTCCGGGCGCATCTAGGACAGTACATGATACGGCGCGAAAGGGTAACGGAAAACTAGCCATGGACCTCGGAAATGTTTGACGGCTGGAGAAAAGCTCAGGCGTCGATGCTATGGTGAGGTGATCCATGTCTGGTTTTGACGAACCTCCATGGCAAGTGCATGCGGTGGTATTGTGGGTGGATTGCGGTGAAGTCGATGGAAGGAGAAGGTGCGGGGAGATTGACGAGAGGATGAAAGTTGAATCTGAGGAGGGAAGAATTTCGTTTCACAAATCCAATTTGGCGGTCCGCAATCTTCACCAATATGTGCGCCTCGTCGAAATTGACGCTCTCGATTTAGCGTCTCGCAATTGATGGACGGCTGAATTGAGTCATACTTTTTCGGGAGTTGGCGGGAGGTGGTTTGGTTCGCCAGCTGTCCGTTTGCCCCTTCATTTGAAAAACCTTGAAAAAAGCGCGAACAAGTTAGGCGGTCAAAATATAATATTCAGGCAAAACATCACATCCGTACCCAGGATGCCTGTTAGATAACTACAGTTTTTCTCGTCATCTGGGTTTTTAGTGAGCGCGAGCGAGTCGCCTGCTCGCCAGCGTTCGCCACGGGAAAAATCGGGACAGTAGTGGGAAGTTGAAGAAATGTAACCAGCATCTCAAAATATCTTACGAACGGACAGATGCCAGCGTGATTAGGTGGATGTTCAACGGCTGCGATCCTAATAGGGGCTTGTATCGTGCGTGCAACTGGCTGGTAGCAAATGTAATTGGCAGGCTGACAAAATTGGAAAGACCAATTTTTGCATGCAGCAGCTGAATATCCTGTGTAGTTGGCAAACATGACGAAGTTGAATCTAGGTATGACAAGCCATCGAGTTTCTGGAGCATCTTGTTTCGAAGACCGGCTTGTACTCGCTATTATCCCTCGAATAATTTCAGTTTGGAGTGATTTCGGTATGCCCAAAACAAACCATTGTGAAGAAAAAATCACCAGGTAGAAAGATATACAAAACGTCAGATATTTTTCTTCCAGTTGTCTCACCCATTCACAAGATGCTTGTGGCTTTAGTCATGGCTCCCCAAAAATAAGAGTTGATTGAAGGCTTCACCAATAGCACAATGCATTACACGTGCATCTCATTCATAACCAGCACCAGTCAGACCAGCAAAGCAGCAGCCAGCACCAGCTGACAGGTTGCCTATTCGGCCAGGACGGACTGTGAACTGCCCTTCTAAAGATACAAGTCAGGAAACCATTACGTATGTCAAGAGGTGTCTACTTGATCTTCTTCTTGGGCCTCAGCTGCACAAAGGGACATGGGACAGAAGGGGACATGGAACAGTACGGAAGAAACAAGAGTAGGTGGAGGAACAAGGCAAGTGAGGAGTCAGGGGGGGGAAGTTGGGACAGTTGCATCTGGTCATAAGCGGGATTGCACCCGTCACATTCTGTCAGCCTGCAGAATCAAACCTTGCTACAGCTGTGAAAACGAACGCTACAGCTGTGGAATCAACTCCTTCCACCAAGCTGCCACAGCCTGCAACCTGCATGCTTGCTTTGCTACAGCTGCCAGGAAAAGAAGGGCAACCCAAAATGTTTCTACGGCTGCCAGCAGCATTACTACAGCAACGCCGCATGTACATAAAGTCAGTCAGTACACCGCGTGTTTCATCTTACATATTGCTATTGCCCACGTGGATGGTGTGATGGCAACAGCTACAGCCTGCCGTAGTTTCTACAGCCTTCCTACCTAATTGCTACAGACGGCCCACCTGGTCGTTACAGCCTACCTACCCAGTCCCTTTCAGCCAGCCAACCTGCTCAGTACAGCTCGCCGCTACACACCTGGTTGTTGTCGCCAACCCACCTGGTCGCTACAGAATGCCGCTACAGCCTGCCGCGACAGCCTGCCACTACAGCCTGCCACTACAGCCAGCCGCTACAGAATGCCACTACAGCCTGCCCCCCATGCACTTCTTCCTGCAGATCACAGAGCGCGGGTGCAGGCGATCATGGCCTGCCTACCAGGTCGCTACAGCCTGCCACTATAGCCTGCCTGCTCACCTGGCCGCTACAGCCTGCCTGCTCACCTGGCCGCTACAGCCTGCCTGCCACCTGGCCGCTACAGCCTGCCTGCCCACCTGGCCGCTACAGCCTGCCTGCTCACCTGGCCTCTACAGCCTGCCTGCTCACCTGGCCGCTACAGCCTGCCTGCTCACCTGGCCGCTACAGCCTGCCTGCCCACCTGGCCGCTACAGCCTGCCTGCCACCTGGCCGCTACAGCTTGCCCACCTGGTTGGTGTGGCCGCACTTCTTCCTGCAGTTCACATCACACTGCGCGGTGCGGGTGAGCGTAGCATATCCAGGCTTCCTTACCTGGTCGCTACAGCAGCCGCTACAACCGGCCCACCTGATCGCTACAGCCTGTCAACCCACCTGGTTGGTGTGGCCACACTTCTTCTTCCTGCAGTTCACAGCGCGCGGGTGCAGGCGAGCGTAGCACCTGGAAAGGGCAGGAAGACGGGAGGCCGGGGGGGAAAGGAGGGATCAGGGGGGTTGTTGAAAAACCGCACACAGCGCGCGGGTGCAGACGAGGGTAGCACCTGGAAAAGGCAATACATTGGTGGAGCAGGGGCGAATCAGGGGCAGACAGGACGGGGCGGGCCGGTGAGGGGGGAGGGATCTTAGCGACAATTAATTCGTTGCACAAACAACTGATTTGCGGCAGATCAGCTCATCGTCGGTGTACTTGCGAGCAAGCGCCATGAGAAACGCTTTGTTCTCGTTGAAGGACGTTAAAAAGAACCGCAGAAAATTTACGAACTCACTTGCGGCAGATCATCTTATCGGCGTTGTACTTGCGAGCGAGCGCCATGAGAGAAGGCTCGATGATTCCTCCTCGCAGCCGCAGCACCAAGTGCAGCGTCGACTCTGAAATCGCAAGGGGGAGGGAGGCGTGGGGGGGGATGTGGGGGAGGGACACACAAAAGAGGGACACACAGTGGAAAATCCATGAGCAAGGCTCGATGATTGCACCACGCAGCCGCAAGCGGAGGGCGTGATAGGGAAGTGATTGTAACAGGGAAAGAGCGAGGAATACACAAATTGCGACAGGGAAGTGAAGGGATGCGAGAAAGGACGAAGAGAAGAGGCGGAAGAGGGGACGGAGGTGGGGAACGAGAGAAACGAGAGGAAGAGGGGTGAGAGAGATGGGCGGGAGAGGGGAGGGGGTGGTGGGAAGAAGAGCCGAGTCTCGCGAATCATCAGCGCGACACATCAGAATCGTACCCTTCTGAATGTTGTAGTCGGCAAGAGTGCGGCCGTCCTCGAGCTGCTTGCCGGCGAAAATCAGCCGCTGCTGGTCGGGAGGGATGCCTGGAGGGGCATAGAATAACCGGGGAGATAAGAACACGGGGAAGGAAAAGGGGGAGCGGGGGTGGGGAAAAGTCGGTGAGATAACACGGCGACGACCTAACGCTGTTATACTTCGGCAGCTTTTGTCGAACTAATTCGACGTTTGGAGGGTGCGAGAATATATGCGAACGCGCGTACTTCAATAGACCGTCTAGCCCGATTGCAACGCGCAATGGTTAACCTCCCTCGTGCAAAGTGGCGCCTCATATTACATTCTCAGCTGAGGCAGATTTATGAGGCTCTGAAAGAAGAACCGCAAGAAAGTCGAGTAGATCCCGTCCCCATCTGCAAGAACTCTACATGTTCAGTGAAAACTCGTCTTGAATCCTTATCCTTATCCCCTCTGCAAGGCTTCCCATTCCCGTTCGCCCCTATCAGTAGCGCACTGCTGACCATCACACTTTACTTGTAATGCCTGCCCTCTTAGCCGTGCGGAAGTACAGTTCGAGTCGACCTAAAAAAAAAGGGCCCCAAAGCCGAAGAAACGACGCTCTGCAAGCAAATGCCTTTTTTCAGACCTACACTGACAGAAAAAGGGAAACCGACGCCGATGTATCCTGGTCAGTCGTTAACGAACGCAGTCAACGGATGTCTGAGAACCGTAACTTGAAAGAAGGAGTGTTTTGAGCCGTCTCAAAACACTCCTTCTTTCACGGAAGGGGAGAAAGGGGATGAGAAGGGAAGATACAGAGGTGCTGGGTGTTTTGAGACGTCTCAAAACACTCCTTCTTTCACGGAAGGGGAGAAAGGGGATGAGAAGGGAAGATACAGAGGTGCTGGGTGTTTTGAGACGTCTCAAAACACTCCTTCTTTCACGTAGTCAACGGATGTCTGAGAACCGCAACTTGACATCGGAGGCACTCTGGATGCCCTTAGAAGTTAGATACCGGTCTTAGAAGCAACTAAGATACGCGTACGTCGAATAGGCTTACGCGTTTTGACTTAATTGGCATCAAATAGAGGGTGAACGGAGTAAATAAAGGAGAAAACCAGCTCAGATTCGACAAGAGAGAATCCCATTCATTGACTCTAAACGTTTCTGATCAGTCCACAAACCCCCGTTAGTCACGCGACTTACCCTCCTTGTCCTGGATCTTGGCCTTGACATTGTCGATGGTGTCGCTGCTATCATGCAACTCAAGGCAATACACTCTTACTTACCAACCCAGCGACAGACAGGCAAAAGCTACAAAATCCGCGACTCACCCTCCTTGTCCTGGATCTTGGCCTTGACATTGTCGATGGTGTCGCTGCTCTCGACCTCGAGAGTGATGGTCTTGCCCGTCAGGGTCTTCACGAAGATCTGCATCTTGCTCACCACTCAGCACCGCTTTGTACCTGCACGAACAGTCAGGATCGACTGTTAAGAGACGGAAGCACTACGATACCTTCATCATATGATTAAGGTTAACGCGTAAAGGAAATGAGACGGCTGACCTTGACGATCCCTGCTCATAGTCCTAAATGTCATGCGACAAACTCTAGGTAAAGGACTAAACGTACGTTGGCGGTACTCTCGTTACAACAGCGTTAGAACCTGTCTCTTGATTCAAGATTAACGTGGAAGTACTAAGAAACACTGAGTTATATCTTCCGATGGCTGACAGAGCTACGACTCGAGCGGGAAACCTAAACTCTTACCTGAGTTAGGGGGATTGGAGGAAACCAGAGAGAGGGGGAAGGAAGCGTTAGGCGGAGAAGAAAGGGAAGGAAGAAGGGGATGGGAGGGAAGGTCGCGTGATAATAGAGACCGTGACAACAACGAGCCGAGACAAGAGTCCTTCGATAGAGAATACACACATACTGTCCATTTTGCGAAAGCTAACGGGACGAAATCAGGGAGCTGGTAACACCCTGCTAAACCCAGTGCAAGGGGCATGGGCTGGGAGGGGCCGATGCTTAGAAAAGCATTGACTTTTTGGGATGCGCAAATCACTGGCGGCTGAGCTGGGTTTGTTCGTCGACGTTAACAATTGTGCGGCAATGAGCGTGAACAATAAGCAGAACTCGTTTTTCCATTGTACATAAGGTGATAAGGTGAAAAATTCCTCTCCTCTCACATACGGTGTTGAATTATCTAATTGATTTTGGAAACCCTCATACTTGCAACTTCACAACATTTACTTTTATATGCTGTATTAGAAGGGTGTTTTCCAAGCAAGTGTGACCAGCTGGGTATCCTGGTGGATGCACATCAATTTCTATATCGCGTGATCAGCAAGGTGAGGGCTGAAGTAGATTCTTTAGTATCCAACAGAAAGGTACTGGTGGCTATCAGATACAGTAAATCAGCAGTAACTAATGGTATGCAGCGGCCTCGGCTTTTAGCTCCTCAATGAATTCCGCAACGGACTTTGTGCCATGAACCACATTGTCCCTTGTGCGAACATTCACCTGTTATGAAGAAACAGTTTACACACATGATGGGACACTTGTTATTCTGGGAAAAAAATGACAGAATTGCACCGTGCAAAATCCGTCACTTCCCCACATTACCAGCTAAGTTTGAGTCACCGAGCCCTGTGCCTCCTCAGCTCCCATCACGAGGATGTAGTTGAACTGACTCCACTTCCCCTCTGTCACTACTCCATGAGTCATCTCACCCAACTCCCTGAGCTCTCTACAGCAAACCATTCAATTCTCAACTCAACGAGCCCTGTGTATCCTCCTCCTCACCCACCACGAGGATGCTGTTGAACTGACTCACTTCCCCTCTACCTCTACTCCTTGCTCCCTCATATTCCCTCATACTCCCTCATACCACATACTCACTCATCTCCCCCAGCTACCTCAGATCTCTCAAGCTACCAGCCAAGCCCAACTCACCGAGCCCTGCGCCTCCTCCTCCGCGCCCACCACCAGGATGTAGTTGAACTGGGCCAGCTGGGCTTCATACTCCCTCATACTCCCTCATACTCCCTCTGACTCCCTCATCTCCCCCATCTCCCTCCGCTCTCTGAAGTTCAACTACCAGTAAACTTCACCTCACTGAGCCCTGTGCCTCCTCCTCAGCCCCAACCACCAGGATGTAGTTGAACTGACTTCACTTCCCCTCTGGCAGTACTCCATGACTCCCTTAGCTCTCTGAAGCAAACCATTCAATTCTCAACTCACCGAGCCCTGTGCCTCCTCCTCCGCGCCCACCACCAGGATGTAGTTGAACTGGGCCAGCTGGGCCTCCCGCACCTGTGACAATAGCGGGTCACGGGTGTGACATTCGCAGGTGAGACAATAGCGGGTGTGTTATTCGCAGGTGAGACAATAGCGGGCATTACAATAGCGGGTGTGACACTAGCAGGTGTGACAGTAATGATGGGTCAAAATGGGTTCAGTTCAGTTCAGCATGTCAAGGTGAGAGATAACCGGCGGAAAGAAATAGGAGCTATTAGAGTAGTGGAGTTGCATGCAAAAGCACAGCATCATCAGAGGTACAATGAAAGTTGCAGTTGCAGTGTAACAGTGCTTTTGAGTCGACTCAAAAGAAGAAATAGGAGCTATTAGAGTAGTGGAGTTGCATGCAAAAGCACAGCATCATCAGAGGTACAATGAAAGTTGCAGTTGCAGTGTAACAGTGCTTTTGAGTCGACTCAAAAGAAGAAATAGGAGCTATTAGAGTAGTGGAGTTGCGTGCAAAAGCACAGCATCATCAGAGGTACAATGAAAGTTGCAGTTGCAGTGTAACAGTGTAACCAGAAAACGAACCTTCTTCTGAAGCTTCCGGTCGGAGAGATCGGCCTCGACATCAAAGCCAGCAGCATGGATCTCATCCCGCACCTGAAAACGCATATCATAATCAGACATCAAAGGACATAATAAAGAATCAGAATAAAGATAAAACATCAACAGTAACACGCACAGCTTTTGAGAACCCTCAAGCTCTACATAAAGGTGAAAGAACATACTGGAACATGGAAACATTGTCTGGGAGAAGGCACACAGTGACCTTCTGGGGACCGCTATTTGTCTACCTTGGTGTGTGCGTGCACCCTCTCAGAGGAGCACCCCAACCATAACAGTCACATTGCTGCACTGCAACGAGCGTACCTTGGTGGTGCATTGTATACAAGCCGTCCCACCAACTCACCTTGGTGGCGTATATGGAGTACTTTTTGGAGACGGGGCACACGGTGACCTGGCGGGGACTCAGCCAGAAAGGCCACTGATGAGGTTCATGCACCACCTCTTACAGTAACAGCCCATTCTAGTCACGCAACTAGCGTATACGAGCTTAGCCGTCCCATTTACTAACCTTGGTGGCGTATTGCGAGTACTTCTCAGAGACGGGGCACACGGTGACCTGGCGGGGGCTCAGCCAGTGTGCACCCGTAAAGAGTACCAACCCAACCATACAGTCACATTGCTGGAGTAGAAAAGAGTGTACCTTGGTAACGTATAGGGAGTACTTCTCAGAGACGGGGCACGCGATGACCTGGTAGCCACACACACCCTCACACGGGGTGCCTATCCCTCTCAAGCCTCACCTTGGTGGCGTATTGCGAGTACTTTTCGGAGACGGAGTACACGGTGACCTGGCGGGGACTCAGCCAGAAAGGTGCGTGCACCCTTGACAGGAGCAACACATAACAGTCACATTGCTGCTGCAGTGACAAGAGAGTGCATACGAACTAGAAAACGTACCTTGGTGGCGTATTGCGAGTACTTCTCAGAGACGGGGCACACGGTGACCTGGCGAGGGCTCAGCCAGAAGGGCCACTTGCCAGCGAAGTGCTCCAGGAGGATGGCAAACATGCGCTCCACTGAACCCAGGATGGCACGATGGATGATGACCTGGGAGAGTGGGTTGCAAGGCACGAGGGAGAGGCGGAAAAGGGGAGTGAGAGGGACAGAAGAGGGGCTGAGAAGCCAGAAGGGCCACTGGCTCGTGACTGAGCTGAAGTTCTCCAGGCCCCCAAAGAGCTTGAAGCTTGATGGTTTCGGTCCCACGTACCGGGGGCTTCCTGCCTGCGGCCTCATCGTCAGCAGAGTATTCCAGTTTGAAGCGGATGGGAAGTTGAAAATCGAGCTGGATGGTGGCGCACTGGTGCTTCCTCCTTGGGCTTCACGGCTCAACACTCAACACTCACTGGCCTACAGCGTGCGGTCTATTGGTTTCAGAGCACACGCTATTGGTTTCAGAGCACACGTACCGGTCGCTTCCTCCCTGCAGCCTCATCGTCAGCGGAGTATTCAAGCTTGAAGCGGATGGGCAGTTGGAAGTCGAGCTGGATGGTGGCGCACTGGTGCTTCCTCCTTGGGCTTCACGGCTCAACACTCAACACTCACTGGCCTACAGCGTGCGGTCTATTGGTTTCAGAGCACACGCTATTAGTTTCAGAGCACACGTACCGGTCGCTTCCTCCCTGCAGCCTCATCGTCAGCGGAGTATTCAAGCTTGAAGCGGATGGGCAGTTGGAAGTCGAGCTGGATGGTGGCGCACTGGTGCTTCCTCTTGAGCGCATCATACACCATGATGTCAATCTTGGGCCCGTAGAACGGAACGCCCCCACCTCCACTCTACCCACCTGTACAACAGGGCTTCTGACTGCCCTGTTGTTGACCACTTTTCTCCCACCGACAGACAGCCTGCGGCCTGATGGACTCGGGCTCACACTCACCGGTCAGGCTCACACTCACCGGTCAGGCTCACACTCACCGGTCGCTTCCTGCCGGCTGCCTCGTCGTCAGCAGAGTATTCGAGCTTGAAACGGATGGGCAGCTGGAAGTCTCTTTGAGGCGCCTCAACAGCCAGCAGAGGACGTGTTTCACACTCACCGGTCGCTTCCTGCCGGCTGCCTCGTCGTCAGCAGAGTATTCGAGCTTGAAACGGATGGGCAGCTGGAAGTCTCTTTGAGGCGCCTCAACAGCCAGCAGAGGACGTGTTTCACACTCACCGGTCGCTTCCTTCCGGCTGCCTCGTCGTCAGCAGAGTATTCGAGCTTGAAACGGATGGGCAGCTGGAAGTCTCTTTGAGGCGCCTCAACAGCCAGCAGAGGACGTGTTTCACACTCACCGGTCGCTTCCTGCCGGCTGCCTCGTCGTCAGCAGAGTATTCGAGCTTGAAACGGATGGGCAGCTGGAAGTCTCTTTGAGGCGCCTCAACAGCCAGCAGAGGACGTGTTTCACACTCACCGGTCGCTTCCTTCCGGCTGCCTCGTCGTCAGCAGAGTATTCGAGCTTGAAACGGATGGGCAGCTGGAAGTCTCTTTGAGGCGCCTCAACAGCCAGCAGAGGACGTGTTTCACACTCACCGGTCGCTTCCTGCCGGCTGCCTCGTCGTCAGCAGAGTATTCGAGCTTGAAACGGATGGGCAGCTGGAAGTCTCTTTGAGGCGCCTCAACAGCCAGCAGAGGACGTGTTTCACACTCACCGGTCGCTTCCTTCCGGCTGCCTCGTCGTCAGCAGAGTATTCGAGCTTGAAACGGATGGGCAGCTGGAAGTCTCTTTGAGGCGCCTCAACAGCCAGCAGAGGACGTGTTTCACACTCACCGGTCGCTTCCTGCCGGCTGCCTCGTCGTCAGCAGAGTATTCGAGCTTGAAACGGATGGGCAGCTGGAAGTCTCTTTGAGGCGCCTCAACAGCCAGCAGAGGACGTGTTTCACACTCACCGGTCGCTTCCTGCCGGCTGCCTCGTCGTCAGCAGAGTATTCGAGCTTGAAACGGATGGGCAGCTGGAAGTCTCTTTGAGGCGCCTCAACAGCCAGCAGAGGACGTGTTTCACACTCACCGGTCGCTTCCTGCCGGCTGCCTCGTCGTCAGCAGAGTATTCGAGCTTGAAACGGATGGGCAGCTGGAAGTCTCTTTGAGGCGCCTCAACAGCCAGCAGAGGACGTGTTTCACACTCACCGGTCGCTTCCTGCCGGCTGCCTCGTCGTCAGCAGAGTATTCGAGCTTGAAACGGATGGGCAGCTGGAAGTCTCTTTGAGGCGCCTCAACAGCCAGCAGAGGACGTGTTTCACACTCACCGGTCGCTTCCTGCCGGCTGCCTCGTCGTCAGCAGAGTATTCGAGCTTGAAACGGATGGGCAGCTGGAAGTCTCTTTGAGGCGCCTCAACAGCCAGCAGAGGACGTGTTTCACACTCACCGGTCGCTTCCTTCCGGCTGCCTCGTCGTCAGCAGAGTATTCGAGCTTGAAACGGATGGGCAGCTGGAAGTCTCTTTGAGGCGCCTCAACAGCCAGCAGAGGACGTGTTTCACACTCACCGGTCGCTTCCTGCCGGCTGCCTCGTCGTCAGCAGAGTATTCGAGCTTGAAACGGATGGGCAGCTGGAAGTCTCTTTGAGGCGCCTCAACAGCCAGCAGAGGACGTGTTTCACACTCACCGGTCGCTTCCTGCCGGCTGCCTCGTCGTCAGCAGAGTATTCGAGCTTGAAACGGATGGGCAGCTGGAAGTCTCTTTGAGGCGCCTCAACAGCCAGCAGAGGACGTGTTTCACACTCACCGGTCGCTTCCTGCCGGCTGCCTCGTCGTCAGCAGAGTATTCGAGCTTGAAACGGATGGGCAGCTGGAAGTCTCTTTGAGGCGCCTCAACAGCCAGCAGAGGACGTGTTTCACACTCACCGGTCGCTTCCTGCCGGCTGCCTCGTCGTCAGCAGAGTATTCGAGCTTGAAACGGATGGGCAGCTGGAAGTCTCTTTGAGGCGCCTCAACAGCCAGCAGAGGACGTGTTTCACACTCACCGGTCGCTTCCTGCCTGCGGCCTCGTCGTCCGCCGAGTATTCCAATTTGAAGCGGATGGGCAGTTGGAAGTCGAGCTGGATGGTGGCGCACTGGTGCTTCCTCTTGAGCGCATCATACACCGTGATGTCAATCTTGGGCCCGTAGAACGCCCCGTCGCCCGCGTTGATCTGCCACGGCCGCCCGAACGCGTTTAGGGACTTCGTGAGGGCCGCTTCGGCGCGGTCCCACGTCTCCACCTCCCCCAGATGCTTCTCTGGGCGCTGGTTGGGATGGGAGACGATGGGATGGCAGGGATGGAAGGTGGTGGGAGACAAGACAGGCGCACAGTGAGAAAGTGAGTGCTTTCCCTCTGTAGAACGCCCCGTCTCCCGCGTTGATCTGCCACGGCCGCCCAAACGCGTTCAGCGACTTGGTCAGGGCAGCCTCGGCGCGGTCCCACGTCTCCACCTCACCCAGGTGCTGCTCTGGGCGCTGGAGGACAGGGAGGCGGGGTGGATGGTGGGAGACAGGCACACAGTGAGGGAGTGAGTGCTTTCCCTCTGTAGAACGCCCCGTCGCCCGCGTTGATCTGCCACGGCCGCCCGAACGCGTTCAGGGACTTGGTGAGGGCGGCCACTGCACGGTCCCACGTCTCCACCTCCCCCAGGTGCTTCTCTGGACGCTGAATGGGGAACGGGAGAGGGGGAGGAGAAACGCGTTCAGCGACTTGGTCAGGGCGGCCTCTGCACGGTCCCACGTCTTGACTTCCCCCAGGTGCTTCTCTGGGCTCTGGAGGAACGGGAGGAGGGAGGAGGGAAGTGGGAGACAGGCACACAATGGGTGAGTGCCTTCCCTCCATCAGTAGAACGCCCCGTCGCCCGCGTTGATCTGCCACGGCCGCCCGAACGCGTTTAGAGACTTGGTGAGAGCAGCTTCGGCTCGGTCCCAGCAGTGTATAGGCTTATGGGCTTGAGGTCGAAGATGAACCCAAAGACGCCGTAGACAGTCTGCAGGAAGTCCAGCGCACGTCACTCACCTCCGCCCACACTCACACACACATGCTGACAAACCCTCTATGCGCCACAGTGCATGGGCTGATGGACTCACCGTAGAGAGCTCCAAATCGAAGGTGAAGCCAAAGATGCCGTAGACAGTCTGCAGCAAGTCCAGCAGTGAGGCACGGCACTGCAGAGCACCACTTTCTCACACTGTAAGGAGCAGCTTCACTTCACGCTCACCGTAGACAGCTCCAGGTCGAAGGTGAAGCCAAAGATGCCGTAGACGGTCTGCAGGAAGTCCAGCACGTCACTGACCTCCTCTTCTACCCATCCCCACCCAACCTGATCCCACCCAACCTGATCCCACCCAACCACACCACACACATAGGCCCATTACTCACCGTGGATAGCTCCAGGTCGAAGGTGAAGCCAAAGATGCCGTAGACGGTCTGCAGGAAGTCCAGCACGTCACTGACTTCTGCCTCCACCTGGGTCTCCTCACAAAAGATGTGCGCATCGTCCTGGGAGTGAGGGGAAACAAGACAAGGCAAGACCAGGAGGAGGTGGGGAGAGGGAGGAGGACAGCAGGGGACATTAGAGATAGCAGGTCAGAAGTGAAGCGCCGCTCACAGCACGTCACTGACCTCCGCCTCCACCTAGCTCTCCTCACAGAAGATGTGCGCATCGTCCTGGGTGGGGGAGCAGGGGGTGGTTGGGGTGAAAACACGAGAGCAAGCAGGGAAGGAAGAAGGTGCATGGTGGGCAATGGAGCCGCTTTGACAGCATGTCGCTCACCCCTGCCGCCAGCCCCTCACCTGTCGCAACCTGCACACACGCGTGAGGCCGGTGAGAGCGCCACTGAGCTTTGACCAGCTGACCTCTTGCCACAGCTAAGCCACTACCTTCTAGGTAACCCGTGCCTGCCAGCCAGCCAGCCCCCTCCTGCTCCCCAGTTAGAACCTTCCCCAGTCAGCCCCTCACCTGCTGGAACCGTCGCACGCGTGTGAGGCCCGTGAGAGCACCAGAGAGCTCGTTGCGGTGCAGCACCCCGAAGTCAGCGAAGCGGAGTGGCAGCTCTGGTGGGGACAGGAGAAGGGATGGAAGAGGGAAAAGGGGGGTGGATGAAGGGAGGCGGGATGAAGCAAGCAAGTGAGAGCGCCAGAGAGCTCATTGCGGTGGAACACGCCAAAGTCAGCGAATCGGAGGGGCAGCTCTGGTGAGTTCAGGAGAAAGGGATAAGGGTATGGATGCAGGGGAACAAGAGGGCGGTTCATGGGCTTGAGCCAAAACTCCAGCCCTTGTAACTGCACAAACACTGCACCGCACCGCACCGCACTGTACCACTCTGTAGAGCTCATGAGGCAGTGGCCGGGGCAGTTCATGGGTTTCAGCCGAACTCCTGCTTCTCCACATCAACACAAACATGTTCTCCTTGTAGTTGGCCGCGCGGGTCCAGGGTTAGGCTATAGGGTTTGACTTTGAGGGACTCTCTGTATGTAGTACACACCTCGGTATGAGCGAGCGCACCCTATGCGCAAACATGAGGCAGTGGCCGGGGCAGTTCATGGGCTTGAGCCCAAACTCCTGCTTCTCCACATCGAACACAAACATGTTCTCCTTGTAGTTGGCTGCGTGACCCTTGAACGGGCTCAGGGTTTCAGGGTTAAGGATTTAGGATTTCAGCACCTAGGGTGAATCAAGGGACAGATATTCTGTACTTACCTCGATAGGAGCGGACCCTATGCGCGAACATGAGGCAGTGGCCGGGGCAGTTCATGGGCTTTAACCCGAACTCCTGCTTCTCCACATCGAACACAAACATGTTCTCCTTGTAGTTGGCCGCACGGGTTTAAGCCCAGGGTAGAGGGTTTAAGGTTCAGAATTAAAGGGGTATTCTGTAGTACTTACCTCGGTAGGAGCGCACGCGGTGGGCGAACATGAGGCAGTGGCCGGGGCAGTTCATGGGCTTGAGCCCAAACTCCTGCTTCTCCACATCGAACACAAACATGTTCTCCTTGTAGTTGGCCGCGTGGCCTGAGATGTTCCACAGCTCCATGTTGAACATGTTGGGGGTGACTACCTGATGATGTTGTGGGGGGATGGGAAAAGGAGGGTATGAGGAAACATAAGCGAGGAGAAACAGGGCGCAATAGAATCACAGCCTGCACAGGCTTCTTGTAGTTGGCCGCGTGGCCTGAGATGCATGGCTGCATGGCCGGGTGGCCTGAGATGCATGGCTGCATGGCCGGGTGGCCTGAGATGCATGGCTGCATGGCCGGGTGGCCTGAGATGTTCCACAGCTCCATGTTGAACATGTTAGGCGTCACGACCTGATGATGTTGTGGAGGGGTGGGAAGAGGAGGGTAGGAGGAAACATAGGTGAGGAGACGAGGGGCGCAGCAGCAACAGCAGGAGCCCTCCCACTCCACCCCCCCTCACTTCCATTCCCCCTTACTCACCTTGTGGTAGCCTCGCTTCCGGTACTCGCCCTGGATGAACCCCACCAGTTTGTCGTATATCCGCGCACCATGCGGCAGGAAGCAGCATCAGCAGCACAACACTAATTCTCACCTCCCACCACCTCCCTCCCTCCCATATCTTCGCCCTCCCATCTTCTCCCCCCCCCTCACCTCGTGGTAGCCTCGCTTCCTGTATTCGCCCTGGATGAACCCAACGAGCTTGTTGTATATCCGCGCGCCGTGCGGTAGAAAGAAGCAGCTTCCGGGGCTGCAGGCAGGGAAAAAGGGTGGGAGAAACGAGGAGAGTAGACGGGGGTGAGCGGGAAGAAAGACTTTTACACTCCATGGGCCCTGGATGAACCCCACCAGCTTGCTGTATATCCGCGCTCCATGCAGCAGGAAGAAGCAGCTTCCAGGGCTGCATGCCATGGGAAAAAGCAAAGTGGAGGAAGGGGATGTCTTATGAGCAGGTGGAGGACGGCATACGAGTGGGTGGATTTCGGGGGAGGAGAGAGGGGGGGAGACAGGGGATGTCTTATGAGCAGGTCGTAACTGGTACTAGCCAAAACCAGTTAGCAGAAACCTCGATGGTGTTTACTCAGACGATGGTAAGCAAATGAATCAGTGGAAAGCAGTACCTGAGCGGGTGGAAGAAGAAAAGGTCCAGTGGGAGCCCCACCATGCGGTGGTCTGAAGAAAGGTATAAGCTAAAACCAGTTACCATCAATGTTGTTGCTGCCACATGAATTCATGTCACCTAGATGATGTTACTGATATGACGGTACCTAAGCGGGTGGAAGAAGAAGAGGTCCTGCGCAAGTCCAACAACACGATGATCTCGCTTCTTGGCCTCCTCTAACACGTGCAGGTACTCCTGGTGCAATGTGAGGGGTGGAGAGGGGTGGAAGGGGGTGGAGAGGGGTGGGGTGAGATAACGAGTGATTGCAATGATAAGGTGGTCTCGCTTCTTGGCCTCCTCCAACACGTGCAGGTACTCCTAGTGGTGGGTGGTGGTGGAGGTGCAGGGAGAAAGGGGAAGTGATGGGTGGTGGGAGAACAAAAGAAAGAGGCTGTGTGTGTGCCGTATGTTCGCTGCAAGCTCTCTCTGTTGGCCTGAGGTGACCAGTAACCCAACTCCACAGAAATATCTAACCTTGAGCTTCTTGCTGTCGGGATATGAGATGCCGTACACTCGCTGCAAGCTCTCTCTGTCAAGTGTGTGTAAGTGTGTGTGTGTGTGTGTGTGTGTGTGTGTGTGTGTGTGTGTGTGTGTGTGTGTGTGTGTGTGTGTGTGTGAAGTGTAAGTGTAAGTGTGTGTGTGTGTGTAAGTGTGTGCGTCTGTGTGTTGAGAAAGTCTCACCTTGAGCTTCTTGCTGTCGGGATAGGAGATGCCGTACACTCGCTGCAAGCTCTCTCTGTCTGACTGCCCCCTCCAATACGATGCTGATGCCTGCTCAGAACCCACAGCAGGGCGACAGGGGAAGGGAAAAAGGGGGGAGAGAGAGAAAGGGGAGAGTGAGAAGTTTCAAAGCCCTAATTCATCTTGAAACAAGCGAAGGCCTTGACGTGGGCAACGCAACCACTTACAATCCCTCTGAACCGCTCTGGACATCTCTGGACCTTGCTGAACCACTCTGAACCGCCCTGCACCCACCTTGAGGCAGGCGAATGCCTTGACGTGGGCAGTTTTGGGGATGCGGGGGCTGCAGCACAGATCAACTACCGAATTCTCTGTACCGCTACACTGAACCACTCTGAACCGCTCTAGACCCACCTTGAGGCAGGCGAAAGCCTTGACATGGGAAGTGTTGGGGATGTGGGGGCCACGGCACAGATCAACCAAGGGCCCGCAGCGGTACACGGTGATGGTCTTGTCCTCTGGGAGGTCCTTGATAATCTCCACCTGATGGGGGACGAGAGAACACGGGGTTGAGGGTATAGGGTACATGTCAGAGTAGGGTCTCACATGGGACAGTGTGAGTAATGCTAGGCACAGGTCATCAGAGATCAACCAGCGGGCCGCAGCGGTACACGGTGATGGTCTTGTCCTCTGGGAGGTCCTTGATGATCTCCAAGAGGAGATGATGATCGAGCGGGCAGTAGGTAGGTGATGATCTCGAGCGCCTGCTGCTGCCCCCCCCCCCCCGCGTCACCTCGATGCACGTGTAGAAAGAACATTTTTGAGACGTCTCAAGAATGTTCTTTCTACACGCAGCGGTACAGCGTGACGGGCTTGTCCTCCAAGAGGCGATGATGATCGAGCAGGCAGAAGGTCGTTGATGATCTCGAGCACCTGCTGCCGCCTGCGTCACCTCGATCCGCTCAAACGCCTGCTTCTCCTTGGCTGCCTTGCCTTGCCTGCCTTGTCCTCAATGGCCTTAAGTTGAGCTGACACAGAAGTCTTCTCACCTTGAACGGGTTATCAGCAAACATCTCAAGCGCCTGCTGCCGCCAGCATCACCTCGACGCACAAAGCCTGCTTCTCCTTGGCTGCCTTGCCTTGCCTTGCCTTGCCTGCCTTGCCTTGCCTGCCTTGCCCTCAATGGCCTTAAGTTGAGCTGACACACAAGTCTTCTCACCCTGAACGGGTTATCGGCGAACATCTCAAGAGCCTGCTGCCTTGTGACTTCGATGCGCTCAAACGCCTGCTTCTCCTTGGCAGCCTTGCCCGCCTTTTGAGCCGTCTCACAACGCACCTTTCAACAGCTTATCACCTCACCTTGAACAGCTTATCAACTCCTTTTGAACCTTATATCTCCTCACCTTGAAGGGGTTATCAGCGAGCCTACTGCCTCGTCACCTCGAGCGCTCAAACGCCTGCTTCTCCAATTCTTGTTTGATTGAGCCGTCTAACACACACACACCTTTCACCAGCTCATCTTCTCACCTTGAAGGGGTTATCAGCAAACATCTCGAGCGCCTGCTGCCGCGTCACCTCGATCCGCTCAAACGCCTGCTTCTCCTTGGCTGCCTTGCCCGCCTTGCCCTCAATGGCCTTGAAATGCTCGTCGTTGAGCGTGCGTTCCCCGTAAAACGCATCATAGTAGAACCCCTGTGTATGGAGAGGAAAACAGAGGGGGCGAGAGAGATGGATGGAAACATAGCAGGACATGAGCCTTCCCTGCCTTGCCCTCAATGGCCTTGAAGTGCTCGTCGTTGAGCGTGCGGTCCCCATAAAACGCGTCATAGTAGAATCCCTGTCACAGAGGAGGAAGCAGGAGCGGGTGCGTAGGAGAGATAGATAGGATAGCACAAGCACTGTGCAAGTGAGCATTCTCCGCCTTGCCATCAATGGCCTTGAAATACTCGTTGCTGAGAGTGAGTGCGCTCTCTAAAAAATGGGTGGGGTGAGAGTCGCAGTAAAACCTTTGTTATGAGCCCAATGCACAGGTGGCTTGCTGGCACCTGCACCCTCTTACCTCCCTATTTATCCTCCTCCCCATGCTCTTCACTTCCCCTCCTCCCGTTCCTCTCCACTTTCTCTCACCTCGCCTTGTGTGGTGCACCCAATGCACAACGACCTTATACCCCACACCTGCCTTCCTCCCTTCCCTCCCTTTTTCTCCCTTCCTGTAATTCATTCCTTCATTCCTCCCATTTCTCCCACTTCTTCTCACCTCGCCTCGTGTGGTGCACGGCCCAATGCACAGGTGGCACCCGCACTCCCTCCCTTGCTCCCTTCCCTCCCCTCCCTTGCTACCCTTCCCTCCCCTCCCTTGCATCCCTTCCCTCCCCTCCTTCCCTTCCCTTCCTCTTCCCTTCCTCGCTCCCCGCTTCCCCACGCCCCTCACCTCGCCTCGTGTCGTGCACGGCCCAATGCATAGGTGGCACCCGTACTCCTGCTCCAGAGCCTGGGAGAAGGGAGAAGAGGAGAGGAGAAGGAGGAAGAGAAGAGGGAACGCATATCGGATGGGAACAAGAGGATAAGAGCACAGAAGGAGGCTGGGACACCCAACCAATGCACAGGTGGCACCCGTACTCCTGCTCTAGAGCCTGGGGGAAGGAAGGAGAGAGAGAAAGGTAGCACAGATACAACGAGGGCAATTAAAAAGGACGCTTGCACCGTTTTACGAACTGTTCTAGTAGCACGTAAGATACTGCTCAATAACGCGTACAAGTAGTCATTATAACGCGTACCTCCCCCAGGATGTGAGCGCTGGAGTGGCAGAAGGTGTCCCTCCCCTCGTCGTCCTCAAATGTGAACAGCTGCAGCGCGCAGTCACCTTCCAGGGGGCTCCTAGGGGCTACTGTCGTGACTACCAGGAGGGACCAAGGGATGCCTATAACGCGTACAAGTACTGCATATAACGCGTACCTCTCCCAAAATATGAGCGCTGGAGTGCCAGAAGGTGTCCCTCCCCTCGTCGTCCTCAAACGTGAACAGCTGCAGCGCGCAGTCACCTTCCAGGGGGCGACACATGTCCCACAACACGCCATCCACCTGTCAACGGGAGGGAGGGGAGGAGCGAGAAGCATGAGTTATATTAAACGAAATGAGGGAGAGGAGAGGAGTTGGAAGAGGGAAGAGCTGCAGCGAGCAGGACCCCTCCAAGGGGGACGCATGTCCCACAACACGCCATCCACCTGTCAACGGGAGGGGAAAGGGAGAGATGGGCATGAACAATAGGATTTCAACAGGAGGAGTTGGCGAGGTTTGGTCACGAGGGAAGAGCTGCAGCGAGCAGTCGCCCTGCAGAGGGCGACACATGTCCCACAACACGCCATCCACCTGTGAAGAGGAAGGTAGTGAGTGAGGAGGAGTGACACACGTACGTATGGATTGAAAGAAGGCGGTTTGGTCAAGAGAGGGCAGCTGCAGCGAGCAGTCACGCTCCGAAACCCGACACATGTCCCACAACGTGCCTCGCTCGCGAGATGCCCTTCGCCACGTCCATTGGGGAGGTCTCCCACTAGTCTCACCTGCATGTTCACCTGAATGTATCTCCGACCCCCAAGCAGCTCTCACCTTGGAGATGATGGCACTGTTGGCGAGTCCCTGCGACATGCCCTTCGCCACGTCCATTGGGGAGGTCTCCCACTTCTTGCCCTCCTTGGGATCAAATCACAGCACTGCCACTCGTGGATGCATTCACCGCGACCAAACCTGCTGCTGCTCACCTGGGTGCTCAACTCGAAGGAGCTTGCTCTCACCTTGGAGATGATGGCGCTGTTGGCGATCCCCTGCGAGATGCCCTTCGCCACGTCCATTGGAGAGGCTCCCCACTATCAGTCCTACATAACACCACCGTCACTCGCAACTTGACTGCGACCAATAGCACTCTCACTTGGACGTCAACCTCTCTCTCACCTTGGAGATGATGGCGCTGTTGGCGAGTCCCTGCGAGATGCCCTTCGCCACGTCCATCGGGGAGGTCTCCCACTTCTTGCCCTCCTTCACAGCACCGTCGGGCAGGGTGATCCTAGCGAACGTGACACAAACGGTGGGGGGGGGGCAGAGGGGAAGAGGTGGGAAGGAGGGAGGTGGGGGGAGGGTGGAAGGGGTGGGGTGGGTGGAGTCACGGATTGGATCGGATGAGTATTAGCAGGTGCAAGAGAAACCTCCATAAAACCCTGCATTCCCTCAGTGGTACCCGATTTGCTTCCTTTTTCCTGACTTTTCAGCATTGTCACGCTTTGACCTTACGTGAACGGATCGCCAGCGGTTTTCTCTCTCTGCGCGGCCTCGTCCACCTAACTATTCATTTTCCTCTATCGTTACTGTCACGCGAGTTATTATCACAAACTAAACGAATTGATCTCACTTGATCGGATCGCCAGCGATCTTCGCCCTCTGCTCTGCCTGCTCCTTCTGAAGCGCCTCGAACATCTCGATCCTCCTCTTGAAAAACGCCTGAATCTCCGGCGCGATCTTCGCCGCCTCTTTCGCAGCGGCAGCCGCGGCGGCGGCGGCCTTGTCGGCGCCCTTGTCAGCACCCTTCACTTTGGCGGCTTTCTCGGGTTTCGCGGAAGCGGCGGCAGCGGCGTCGGCTGCTGGCGCGGCGTCAGCCAACGAGGCGTCAGCCAGCTTCTCGGCCACGTCATTCGGACTCATCTTGACGTGTCAATTAAAGTATCAACGTCTACCGAGGCTGTCTCTCCAATGCGACGAAACGTCAACGGCAACACTCGTACAAGATTCGGAGTGTGGGGTAACAGTAGTAGCTAACTCGGCGAACTGGCAGAGACAGGACGAAAGATGGGAGAAAACTGACTAAACGTTCCCAGAGACAGGCGAAAGAGACTGGAGGACCCCGCAAGTGCTGGGTGTCAGGCTAACAGTGTACGTAGAATAATCTACAGCGCATAACCTGAAGCCGCGGCGTAAGTTGCGGGATCAGCAGTCAGTCCCAGATTCGCTAAGGAAAAGGAATCTACTGTTGTCAGTTGCGGATTTTGTGGGTGCAAGCGGAGCATCGAGAATCGGCGCTGAGGCATGGCGGGGAAAGCGGAAAGGTGGGGGGATGCGGGCGGGGAGAATCGGCGAACACGCACAGTGATTGGGTGATGGGGGAACGGCGCAACCGACCTTGTGGTTGGATTTGCGGTTGCGAGAATACAACGAACGCATTCGCTAACAATTCACGAACTACACACCCTGGATCAAAATCACAGCAAAAAGGAGCACTGCGCTAAAGGCATAAGGTCTGAGCAATAAAAATATTGTATAGATAGGATGTAGCACCGGTATATTACCATTTTCACTTTCGTGCTCCGTAGATTAGAGCATGCAATTGACCCAGGCTACAGAAACCGGAAACAGCTTGCTAAATACGGCTGCGAGGGCCGATGGGGCTGCCACCCTCAAACGCCTCTTCAAGCACTTCTTCAACTCGCTTTGTTGGAAGGATCTGACATGAAAAAAGACCACGAGGATATAACGGACACATTTCCAGGACAAATGGCATGCATTCAGGGCACCACCACCTCCAATGCTCGCTTCATCAGTACAGCCATTCACCGACACCTGTACATCCTTTCTTACCCAGAGCGGAATATCCATTGTCCTAAACCTACTTACGGATGCAATGCGACCATTCATGCCCCCATTAACACAAAATCATTCCCTCTGCAGGCAAGCAGCACTCACATGCATGCCTAGTCAACCCATTTTGGCACAGGACATGGCATCTTACCGCCATGCTTGCCATAGTATCCTACCACCAGGCATGATGCCAAATCATCCCATTTGCACACATGCCTTGTTATCCTACATCCATGCATGATGCCACATCATCCAACTTACACACATGCCACGTCAGCCTACCTCCATGCATGCCAGCACAGCAGCTGGCACCTCCTGGAGATCCTTGATGTTCTTTTCGGGCAGAATAACTCGCCTGATGCCGCAGCGATGGGCAGCGAGAATCTGAACAGCGAAAAAGGAAAAAGAGGAAAACAAGGGAAGCAGGAGAACGGGCAGAAAAGAAGAGGGAGAGGCAGGAATATGACTGAGAGATGAAGGAAGGCGGAGTGAATGCATGCGGCCAAGTGCAACTGTGATGGAAATGCAAGGCAGGAGATTATGAGAATTTTTCCATTCTCATTTGCACCATTGCGCACCATTGCAACCACACTCACCTTCTCCTTCACGCCCCCAACAGGCAGCACCAGCCCTCTGAGCGTCAACTCCCCAGTCATGGCCGTGTCGGAGCGCACACAGCGGTTGGAGACGAGAGACACGAGTGCGGTTACCAGCGTAACACCAGCGCACACAGCGATTGGAGAGGAGAGGAGAGGAGAGACAGTGGTGCACTGATGAGAACTCACCTTCTCCTTAACCCCTCCTACAGGCAGCACCAGGCCTCTGAGTGTGAGCTCGCCGGTCATAGCCGTGTCGGACCGCACACAGCGGTTGGAGAGGAGAGACACGAGTGCAGTTACCAGCGTAACACCAGCCGATGGGCCGTCCTTGGGCACAGCACCTGGAGTGAGTGGGAGGGAAGGCAACACAAGGGAGATCAGTCCATTGAGGAGAGACACGAGCGCGGTTACCAGCGTAACTCCGGCCGAAGGGCCGTCCTTGGGCACAGCACCTGGAGTGCGTGAGTGGTAAGGCAAGAGAACCCGAGCTTGAAAAACCCAGCAAGTGGATTTCTAGCATGTTGCAGTGCAGACAGAGGTTGGAGAGGAGAGAATTCTAAAAAAACAGATTTTTGAGAATTCTAAAAAAACATATTTTTGAGAATTCTAAAAAAATAGTTGCAAGTTGAACTCAGAAAGCCAACCAAATTCGGATTGGAGAGATTACATATGCTCACCTAAGAGATCGGAGGCAGCATATGTAATGTGTTGGAAGTTAGAAATGGGTTCAATTTGGAAAGCGCAAGTGTTACCTGCGGGGAAGTGGATGTGAGTGTCTCGTCCCTCCATGAGGTTGCGAGGGAGAGGCACGGGGTTGGTCGAGGAGGAGGAAGATGGGGGGAACTGCTGCTCTTGCCACTTGCAACAAATGTGGCTGTTGCCATTATAGCAGTCCTCATGTGGCTTCTTGCAGCAGAGCACAAGTGCGTGCAATGCCTTACCTGCGGGGAAGTGGATGTGAATGTCTCGCCCCTCCATGAGATTGCGAGGGAGAGGCACAGGGCCAGCTGATGATGCGACGATGTTGCTGCCACGGCGGATGCTGCTACTGCTGCTCTTGCCGTTGGTAATAGCAGCAGTGCTCGGGTAAGCCATGATCGCATAAGCAGAAGCATCAGCAGTGGCCGAGGGAGAAGCAGCAACAACTGCAGCAGCAGCAGCAGACGGAGCAGCAGAGCGAGAAGCAGCAGTGGCATAAGTACCAGCAGCAGCAACAGCAGGAGTAGCGGAGACAGCAGGAGGAGCAAAGGAGGAGGGATGGATGGTGGGGACGACAGTAGGGGGAGAGGCGGGGGAGGAGGAGACAGCGCCGTAGGGGCCGAGAGGAGGGAGGTGGTCGGGAGCAGGTGTGGTGTCATCGAAGGGATGGTCTGATGGTCTGAAAGGCGGAGAGGAGGAGGAGGGAGGGGTGGAGGTAGGGGGTGGTGGGAAGAGCTCTGCTGCCCTGGCACGGACCTGAGAGGGTCGGGGTGACGTATACAGGGCATTGTGAAGAAAGGAGGGGGGAAAATATCAGGGTTGAGGAAGAGAGGGAAGGGGAAGGTGATCAGGAGCAGGAACAGAGTCATCGAATAAATGGTCTGATGGGGTGAATGGCGGAGGAGAGGAGGGAGGGGTGGAGGTAGGGGGTGGTGGGAAGAGCTCTGCTGCCCTGGCTCGGACCTGAGGGGGAATGGGACAAAGAAGAGAGGGGATTGGGGAAGTAGGGGAGAAAGAGAGGGGATGAGGAAGAGAGGAAGGGGAGGTAGGGGTTGGTGAGAAGAGCTCTGCTGCCCTGGCACGGACCTGAGGGGGTTGAGAAAAATTAAAGAGGGAATTGGAAACAGAAAGGGCAGAAAAGGGAGAGTGGATGAGGAAGAGGGGAGACAAGGAAGAGAGGGTTGAGGTGGTCAGCAGAGACGGCGTGGCGTCATTGAATGGGTGGTCTGATGAGGTGAGAGGCGGAGGAGAGGAGGAGGGGGCGGAGGGGGCGGAGGAGGTGGAGGGTGGTGGTGGGAAGAGTTCGGCTGCCCTGGCACGGACCTGAGCGGGTTGGGGGAAAGAAGGCAGGGGATTGGGGTAAAGAACTGCACCTCTGAGTTGATACGGAAATCACCTCATTACAATGGCGCACATGCAGAAAACACTGTTAACCACATTGCCCAGTCAGATGCAGCTTCTTGAGGCGCCTCAAAAATTGACACAAAAATCATTTCATTACAATGGTTGACGCGAGGGGGTTTTGATGGCCTGGGTTTTGGCGAAAGATTCCGAATTCGCTTTTTTTCGTTTTTTTTCGCCGACCCAGCCCGCCCTCGTATTTCGCCCTGGGGGTTGGTTCAGTTCCCAAAAGTCCCAAATTGCAGGCTGGCTTTTTTTTCAAACCTTGCAAACACTAGTTCGTCAAGTTTTAAAAGCTTGACCCGCGCGGCCCGCAATTTGGGCCGCGGGCTTTAACCAGATGCAGACAACATTGTTAACCACATTGCCCAGTCAGATGCAGCTCTTCCCCTTCCCCACCGTCTCTGTCGCTTCGGAAAAACTGCACCTCGCCCCCAACTGCGGCTCTGCTCATGCCTCTCCACCCTCCCATCCCTGGAAACCTCACCCATATGAACTCAACCAAATACACTTAATGCGATTCATATTCATTCTAAACTTATCCAGTGAGCACAATTTAGGTGGACTCCTTGAACACCTCTCCCAGCTGCCCTGTCAAATGCAGCTCTCCCTTCCCCACCCTTTCGGTCTTGAATGACACCCCCCAGCTGTCTGTAGCTTCAACAAACTGCACCTCGCCCCCCACTGCCGCTCATGCCTCTCCAGCTTCATACACATACTCGTTATAAGCTTACCCAGGCGAGAGCAATCTGGGCAGACTCTTTGATCACATCTCCCAGTTGTCCAGTCAAACTGCACCTCGCCTCCCACTTTTGCCAATGTATCTCCCCACCTGTCCACTCCTTGTATTCCAACCTCGTCTCACACTTCTATTCGTTATAAACTCACTTTTGAGGCGCCTCAAAACTCGTCTCACACTTCTATTCGTTATAAACTCACTTTTGAGGCGCCTCAAAACTCGTCTCACACTTCTATTCGTTATAAACTCACTTTTGAGGCGCCTCAAAACTCGTCTCACACTTCTATTCGTTATAAACTCACTTTTGAGGCGCCTCAAAACTCGTCTCACACTTCTATTCGTTATAAACTCACTTTTGAGGCGCCTCAAAACTCGTCTCACACTTCTATTCGTTATAAACTCACTTTTGAGGCGCCTCAAAACTCGTCTCACACTTCTATTCGTTATAAACTCACTTTTGAGGCGCCTCAAAACTCGTCTCACACTTCTATTCGTTATAAACTCACTTTTGAGGCGCCTCAAAACTCGTCTCACACTTCTATTCGTTATAAACTCACTTTTGAGGCGCCTCAAAACTCGTCTCACACTTCTATTCGTTATAAACTCACTCACCAGGTGTGAGCAATCTGGGCCGATTCTTTAATGACGTCCCCCAGCTGTCCAGTCAAATGCAGCTCCCCTTCCCCACCATGTCTGCCGCTTCTACAAACTGCACCTTGCCCCACCCCCCCCACTGCCGCTCATGCCCCTCCAGCTTCATACACATGCTCGTTATAAGCTCACCCAAGTGAGTGCAATCTGGGCTGACTCCTTAATGACGTCCCCCAGCTGTCCTGTCAGATGCAGCTCTCCCTTCCCCACCATGTCTGTCGCTTCAACGAACTGCACTTCCCCCCCCACTGCGGTCCACACCAGCCCCACCGCCACTCCCGGCGTCGCAACCCTCTCTGCTGCCTCCCTGCCGTCAAACTTGGGAGGCTGAGATGGGGCAGGAACGGGGATGATGTCGCACAAAGTAAGGGAACAGAGAGGGATGAATGATGAGACAAGGGAGAGGCTTCAACGAACTGCACTTCGCCCGCCACTGCGGTCCACACCAGCCCCACCGCCACTCCCGGGGTTGCAACTCTCTCTGCTGCCTCCCTGCCATCAAACTTGGGAGGCTGAGATGGGGAGAGGGGAGAGGGGAGAGGAGAGAAGAGAGAGGGGAAGGGAGAGAGACAGGGGAAAGGAAAGAGGGGGGCAAAAGGGGATTCAACGGACTGCACCTCGCCACCTACTGCCGTCCACACCAGCCCAACCGCCACCCCTGGGGTTGCCACCCTCTCTGCTGCCTCCCTGCCATCAAACTTGGGTGGCTGAGAGAAGGGAGAGGGGGGAAGGAAAGGAAGAGAAACAGGGGAAAGGAAGGCAGGGGCAAAAAGGGAATGTAACGAATTGCACTTCGCCACCAACTGCCGTCCACACCAACCCAACCGCCACTCCTGGTGTTGCCACCCTCTCTGCCGCCTCCCTGCCGTCAAACTTGGGGGGCTGGAAGACGGGAGAGAAACAGGGGAAAGGAAAGAGGGGGCAAAAGAGGCTTCAGCAAACTGCACTGAGGGAAAACGGGGAAGTGTTAGGCAGAGTGAGAGAAGCGAGTGACTGAACTGCCACTCCCGGTGTTGCAACCCTCTCTGCTGCCTCCCTGCTGTCAAACTTGGGGGGCTGAGACACGACGCGAGGAGAGGGGCAATGAAGAGAAACGGAGAGGGGGAGAAGGGAGGGAAAATGGGTTGGTGTCGCAAGTTGCAGAGTAAGGGAAAGGGAGAGGGGATGGGGTATGGGGGCCAAAAGAGGCTTCAACAAACTGCACTTCGCCCCCCACTGCCGTCCACACCAGCCCAACCGCCACTCCCGGTGTCGCCACCCTCTCTGCTGCCTCCCTGCCGTCAAACTTGGGTGGCTGGGAGAAGGGAGAGGGGGGAAGGAAAGGAAGAGAAACAGGAGAAAGGAAAGAGGGGGCCAAAAGAGGCTTTTACAAACTGCACCTCGGTCCCCTCTGCAGTCCACACCAATCCAACTGCCACTCCCGGTGTTGCTACCCTCTCTGCTGCCTCCCTGCCGTCAAACTTGGGGGGCTGAGATGGGGAGAGGGCCAAGGTAGAGGAGAGGGGAGAGACGGGTGTTGGGGAGAGGAGCGGAAAGGGGCCTATTTCCCCTGTGGCGTCAACAAACTGCACCTCCCCCCCCACTGCCGTCCACACCAGCCCAACCGCCACTCCCGGTGTCGCCACCCTCTCTGCTGCCTCCCTGCCATCAAACTTGGGGGGCTGGGAGAAGGGAGAGGGGAGAACAGAAGGAAGAGAAACAGGGGAAAGGAAGGCAGGGGCAAAAAGGGAATTTAACGAACTGCACTTCGCCCCCCACTGCCGTCCACACCAGCCCAACCGCCACTCCCGGTATCCCTGCCGCCAAACTTGGGAGGCTGAGATGGGAAGAGGGGTGAGGAGAGGGAGACGTGGAGACAGAGGGGGCGGGGTTGGTGTAGTGCAGAGTAAGGGAAGGGGAGAGGGGAAGGGCGAGGGATGGTAAAAGGAGGGAGGGCTTCAACAAACTGCACCTCGCCCCTCCCCACTGCCGTCCACACCAGACCAACTGCCAGTCTGCCACTCCCGGTGTTGCCACCTCTCTGCTGCCTCGCGCGAGAGCGGACACGAGAGATGGGTAGATTTTTTAGTCGACTCAAAAATCAACGAGAGATGGGTACACGAGAGCGGACCGGACCAACCACCACCCCCAATAATGCATATGCAACCCTTGTACCCATCTTAATACAAACCATACAAGCATGCGGCCACACGTCACACACACATCACAACCTACCCTTCTGCCATGCTATCACCAACCCAATGCCAATGCCGTGCCATGCTGCCACCACTCACACGCCACCACCACCCTAAATGCCAATCCCATGGTATCCCCACTCACCCCCAGCACTTTCTCCAGCATCTCCTCTGTGACCTCAATTGGGTTTGAGCTTGCGGTGCCCAAGGATCTGAATTCATGAGCTTGCCGCGCCCAATAACACCAAATCTAATATCAACCCTAATGCCATAATGCTATGCCACCATGCTGCCATGCTGCCATGCCACCACACCACTCACCCCCAGCACTTTCTCCAGCATCTCCTCTGTGACTTCAATTGGGTCTGAGTCCGCCATCACTGCTGCCACCTCTTTGCCCTGACAGGGTGGGAGGGGTTCAGTGGCGCGGAGAGAGAAAGAGAACGGTGCAGAACGGTGACGAGGAGGGAGTGGCAACACCTACTACAGCAGCTTCAGCATCTCCTCTGTGACTTCTATAGGGTCAGACTCCGCCATCACTGCTGCCACCTCCTTGCCCTGAATGGAAGGGAGGGGTTCAGTGGCGTGGAGGGAGAAGGAGAGCGGTGCAGAGAATTGAATAAGAGGGAGCTGCAACATTTACTAGAGCGTCTCATCTCCTCTGTGACCTCGATTGGGTCTGAGTCCGCCATCACGGCCGCCATCTCCTTGCCCTGACAGGGTGGGGTGGAGAGGGAAGGCGAGCGGTGCAGAGAGGTGAAGAGGAGGGAACACTCCAACATCCATTCTTCTCCAGAATCACCTCCGTGACCTCGATTGGGTCAGAGACCGCCATCACTGCCACCACCTACCTCCTTGCCCTGACAGGGTGGGAGGGGTACAGGGGTTCAGTGGCGTGGAGGGAGAAGGAAAGCGGTGCAGAGAGGTGAAGAGGAGGGAGCTGGAGCACAGAATATCCTCTGTTACCTCGATTGGGTCTGAGTCCGCCATCACTGCCACCACCTACCTCCTTGCCCTGCGGGAGTGGCAGGATTGAGGAAAGATTGGAGACATGTGGGGTGAAGGGGAGTGGAGAATGGTAGAGGCAGTTGCAGAGAGATTACACGGTGGTCGTGGTCATCTGTAACCACGTGATCAAAGGTTGATCTTGAGACGTCTCAAAAGCTGCCACCTGGAGGGTCAACGGATAACAGTTGCACGAATGCAGTCTGACATTGATAGAGTGAGGCGGAGGGGAGTGGACAGGAGTGGAGAGGAGTGGAGAGATCACAGAGTGCAGCATGCAACCACCTGACCAGGACACACAGAACCACATTGCACCGCTTGAACCCATCTCAACCCACCTCCACGCCAATTGCCAGAGCCTGAATTTGGAGATCTCTCAAAACTCACCTCCTCCATGCCCATAGCCTCCACTTCCATCTCGAGCTCCGCCTTGGCACTGCCTGCACCGCACTGCACCTCGCTCAACCACTCTGTAATGGTCTCCGCTCACCTCCATGCCCATAGCCTCCACTTCCATCTCGAGCCATGCCTTGGCGTCCCGCACTGCTGCTGTGGCCACTTTAGTCTCTGCTAGTGGAAGACATGGAACTGAGCAGCAGTGCGGTGCACGGCATTGCACCGCACTGGACCGGTATCCAATCACCTCCACTCCTATCGCCTCCACTTCCATCTCGAGCTCCGCCTTGGCGTCCCCCACTGCTGCTGCTGCTGCCGCCACTCTAGATAGATTTTACTCGTGGAAAGCATGGAACTGCATTGCACCGCACTCCACTGAACTGGACCGGTATCCACTCACCTCCATGCCTATCGCCTCCACCTCCATCTCGAGCTCCGCCTTGGCATCTCCCACTGCTGCTGCTGCCGCCAGCGGGTCAGCCGTGTTGATAGTAGCAGCTGAGCTGGGTGCACCAGCAGGAGCAGAGCCAGAGGTAGAAGCCGTCCCAGTGGTCCCGCTCACTTCCCTCGCTATGCGGATGCAGCGATTGGACTGGGCCACCTGTGGGTGGTGGGGTGGAGGTTGAAGGGGTAGGTGGAGGCGATACAGGAGAAAATCATGAGGGTCAGCCGTGGGAGAAGCAGCAGCAGAGCTGGGTGCACCGGCCGTGCCAGTGGCAGGGACAGTCCCGGGAGCAGGGGGGGTCTGCTCGCTTCCCTCGCCACGCGGATACAGCCATTGGACTGGGCCACCTGTGGGTGGTGGGGTGGAGGTTGAAGGGGTAGGTAGGTAGAGGCGATACAGGAGAGAAAATCGAGGGCCAGCCGTGGGAGAAGCAGCAGCAGAGCTGGGTGCACCGGCCGTGCCAGTGGCAGGTACAGTCCCAGGAGCAGGGGGGGTCTGCTCGCTTCCCTCGCCACGTGGATACAGCCATTGGACTGGGCCACCTGTGGGTGGTGGGGTGGAGGTTGAAGGGGTAGGTGGAGGCGATACAGGAGAAAATCATGAGGGTCAGCCGTGGGAGAAGCAGCAGCAGAGCTGGGTGCACCGGCCGTGCCAGTGGCAGGGACAGTCCCAGGAGCAGGGGGGGTCTGCTCGCTTCCCTCGCCACGTGGATACAGCCATTGGACTGGGCCACCTGTGGGTGGTGGGTGGTGGGGTCGTGGAAGGGGTGAGGGAAGAGAAATATGAGAGTGAGGTGGCAGCAGCAGCAGAGCTGGGTGTACAGGCAGGGGCAGTGGGGGTCCTGCTCACCTTCCTCGCCACGCGGATGCAGTGATTCGACTGGGCTACCTGTGGGTGGTGGGTGGTGGGGTCGTGGAAGGGGTGAGGGAAGAGAAATATGAGAGTGAGGTGGCAGCAGCAGAGCTGGGTGTACAGGCAGGGGCAGAGCCAGGGGCAAGGGGGGACCCGCTCACCTCCCATCCCAAGCCAATCGGATGCGTCGATTGGACTGGACCACCTACCTGGAGGTGGAGGGCGGTGGTGGAAGGTGGAGGGGTGGTGCAACATGTAAAGCAATATTGAAATCACTTGTGAGAATTCTCAAAAGTGATTTCAATATAGGCGGTGGTGGAAGGTGGAAGGTGGAGGGGTGGTGCAACATGTGACATGTCAAGCAAGCTGTGCTGTGTTAAAGTAGGCCAGTGCTGGCAGCATCGCCAGCAGTCGTTTTTTAGGCGCCTCAAAAACGACCTCAATGCGGGCGGTGGTGGAAGGTGGAAGGTGGAGGGGTGGTGCAGCATGTCAAGCAAGCCGTGCTGTGTTGAAGATTTTTGAGGCGCCTCAAAAATCGGAAGGTGGAAGGTGGTGGTGCAACATGTGAAATGTCAAGCAAGCCGTGCTGTGTTGAAGTAGGCTAGTGCTGGCAGCATCGCCAGCAGTCCCAGGGGCCAGGGTGGTGCTAACTTCCCTTGCCGCAAGTCAACCAGAGTCAACCAAAGTCAACGCACCTGCACAGCAGCGTGCCTCGCCAGTGCTGCCAGCAGGCGACTCAGATTCCTCACTCCTGCCTCACGAGTATAGCGCGTTATCAGCATCTCCACCGCGTGCTGTTGGGTAGAGGAGACGAGAGGACGGGGATGGGGAGAGACGGGGAGGGGGAGAGACGAGGAAAGGATGTATGGAGCTGGTTCTCTCAGATTCCTCACTCCTGCCTCGCGAGTGTAGCGCGTTATCAGCAACTCCACTGCGTGCTGTTGAGTAGAGGAGACGAGAGGACGGGGAGGGGGAGAGACGGGGAGGGGGAGAGACGGGGAGGGGGAGAGACGAGGAAAGGATGTATGGAGCTGGTTCTCTCAGATTCCTCACTCCTGCCTCGCGAGTGTAGCGTGTTATCAGCAACTCCACCGCGTGCTGTTGGTGCAATAAGAGGGAATCGGGGGATGGAGGGGGCGAAGAAGGGAAAGGGGATGGGTAAAGGGGGAATTGGGGAAAGGGGAAGAGCTAAGGAGAGTAGGACGTCTGGATTGGTCCGTTGACCAAGAGTCAAAGCACTGTTCACAACGCACGCACTAAAGCCAAGAATAGTAGCAAGTAAAATTAAATAGAATCTCACATCCGAGACATGGAGGTGGTGATTGGTGACCTTGTGCTGCTCCAGCACGCTGGGATGAGGTGGCGCGTGGCGATTCGCTGCACTATCTAACTGAGGATCCACAGGAGTCACATTCAATACAATGCAACCCACAAAGCATCGAATCAAATCAAATCTCACGTCCGAAATATGCAGATGGCGCTTGGTGATGCCGTGCTGCTCCAGCACACGCGGGATGAGGTGGCGCGTGGCGATTCGCTGCTTCTCCTCAGGGGTGTAGCCCGGCAGCTCAATCACCTCCATGCGGTCCAACAGAGCGGCTGGGATGGGTGCTGCGCGGTTGGCCGTTGCCACAAACACCACCCGCGAGAGATCGAAGGGGACCCCCAGGTAGCTGGTGGATTGAGGGGTGGGAGAGATGGGGGGAGAAGGGGAGATTGGTTGCGTCTTCTGGGGGAAAGATGGGGGGAGAAGGGGCGATTGGGTGCCTTCCCCTCCGGGGGAGATGGTGGGGAGATGGGGGAAGATGGGGGGGAGAAGGGGAGATTCGCTGCTTCTCCTCGGGGGTGTAGCCCGGCAGCTCAATCACCTCCATGCGGTCCAGCAGAGCGGCTGGGATGGGTGCTGCGCGGTTGGCCGTCGCCACAAACACCACTCGTGAGAGATCAAAGGGGACCCCCAGGTAGCTGGTGGATTGGGTTGGGGGAGGGCAGGAAAAAGGGGAGACAGCAGAGGGAGGGACAGGAGACTAGGCGAGGGAAGAAAGGGGCTGGGATGGGTGCTTCGCGGTTGGCCGTTGCCACAAACGCCTCCCGCGAGAGATCAAAGGGAACCCCCAGGTAGCTGGTGGATAGAGGAGGGGAGAGGGAGGGAAGTGATTGAAATGGAAGAAAGCGGCTGGGATGGGTGCTGCGCGGTTGGCCGTTGCCACAAACACCACGCGGGAGAGATCAAAGGGGACTCCTAGGAAGCTGGAGATAAGAGGAGGAAGGGTGGAAGGGGGGAGGGAGGAAAAGGATACGTGAGGGAAGGAGCAGGGAAACAAGTGTTTGGGATGGGTGCTGCGCGGTTGGCCGTGGCCACAAAAACCACCCGCGAGAGATCGAAGGGCACCCCCAGGTAGCTGGTGGATTGGATTGGGGCGGAGAGGGGGGAGCGGCAGAAAGGGAGATGAGAGGGTCAGCGAATTGAAACAAGTTGTTGGGATGGGTGCTGCGCGGTTGGCCGTGGCCACAAACACCAGCCGCGAGAGATCGAAGGGCACCCCCAGGAAGCTGGTGTATAGGATGGGGGGGCGGAAAAAAAGGGAGACAGGGGAAGGGGGGACAGGGAACTTGGCAAAAGAAGGAAGGACTGCTCCTGAAAGCATTTGTTCTGCTCGGGGTCCAGCACCTGCAGCAGCGCATCAGCAACACTGTACCACAGCCCATTCTCACCGCTCTCAACCCATCTGCCCCACTCACTGGTCCTGGAAGCACTTGTTCTGCTCGGGGTCCAGCACCTCCAGCAGCGCCGCAGCTGGATCACCCCTGGCATCGGCGCCCGTCTTGTCAATCTCATCGAGGAGCATCACTGGGTTGTTGACGGCCACACGCTGGTGGGTGAATGGGAGGGTATGTGGAGAGAATTGTGAGTGCGTTGCTGGCCGTAGCAGCAGGGTCACCCCGGCCCCGGGCGTCGGCTCCAGTCTTGTCAATCTCGTCCAGCAGCATCACTGGGTTGTTGACTGCCACACGCTGGTGGGTGAATGGGAGGGTGAGAGAGAGCAATGCAGCACGAGGGTGAGGATGGACAGGGGAATGTGGGCTTTTCTGGCAGCAGCAGGGTCACCCCTGGCATCGCCGCCCGTCTTGTCAATCAGCCCCAGTCTTGTCGATCTCATCCAGCAGCATCACTGGGTTGTTGACTGCCACACGCTGGTGGGTGAATGGGAGGGTGAGAGAGAGCAATGCAGCACGAGGGTGAGGATGGACAGGGGAATGTGGGCTTTTCTGGCAGCAGCAGGGTCACCCCTGGCATCGCCGCCCGTCTTGTCAATCAGCCCCAGTCTTGTCGATCTCATCCAGCAGCATCACTGGGTTGTTGACTGCCACACGCTGGTGGGTGAATGGGAGGGTGAGAGAGAGCAATGCAGCACGAGGGTGAGGATGGACAGGGGAATGTGGGCTTTTCTGGCAGCAGCAGGGTCACCCCTGGCATCGGCGCCCGTCTTGTCAATCAGCCCCAGTCTTGTCGATCTCATCCAGCAGCATCACTGGGTTGTTGACACCCACACGCTGGTGAGAGGTAGCAGGAGAGGGCAGTGGATGGGGGGAGGGTGTGGGGTTGAATGAGATGGGTTGAGGAAAGAGAGGGGCGTTGTCTTTGAGAGGGTCGCCCCTGGCATTGGCGTCGGTCTTGTCGATCTCGTACAGCAGCATCACTGGGTTGTTCACCCCCACGCGCTGGTGAGCGGCGGAGAGAGACAGAGAGTGGGACGAATGCAAGGTGCCCTCTGATATCCGCCTCATCCCCCTTCTTGTGACTCACTATGAACCCCGTCTGACTCCCTCTCCCCCCCTACCTGTTCTCACCTTGACCCCTTCAATCAGTCGCCCCGGCATGCTCCCCACATACGTCCTCTGATATCCGCCTCGTTCTTCACCCTTCCCAGAGCTATCTGCTCCGCACAAACTCCCTTTGAGCCCCCTCTAACCCCATCTCCCCCCTCCTTGCTCTCACCTTGACCCCTTCAATCAGTCGCCCCGGCATGCTCCCCACGTACGTCCGCCTGTGCCCTCTGATATCCGCCTCGTCCTTCACCCCTCCCAGCAACTCACTACTAACCCCCTCTAACCCGCTCTAAACCCCCCCGAACCTTCTCACCTTGACCCCTTCAATCAGCCTGCCAGGCATGCTCCCCACATACGCCCGCCTGTGCCCTCTGATATCCGCCTCGTCCTTCACCCCTCCCAGCGCTATCCGCACAAACTAGCACACAAATCCACACTTCCCCTGCTCTCACCTTGACCCCTTCAATCAGTCGGCTAGGCATGCTCCCCACGTAAGTCCTCCGGTGCCCTCTGATATCCGCTTCGTCCTTCACCCCTCCCAGCAACTCACTATTACCCCCCTCCAACCCGCTCTAAACCCCTCTAACCCCCCCCGAACCTTCTCACCTTGACCCCTTCAATCAGTCGCCCCGGCATGCTCCCAACATACGTCCGCCGGTGCCCTCTGATATCCGCCTCGTCCTTCACCCCTCCCAGCACTATCCGCTCCGCACAAACAAGCACCCAACAGCCGCACAACCACCCTACCTTCCCCTGCTCTCACCTTGACTCCTTCAATCAGTCGCCCCGGCATGCTCCCAACATAAGTCCGCCGATGCCCTCTGATATCCGCCTCGTCCTTCACCCCTCCCAGCGCTATCCGAACAAACTTGCGCCCAAGGGCCTTGGCGATGGAAGAGACCAGGGATGTCTTGCCCACGCCAGGAGGACCCACGAAGCACAGCACAGGACCCGTGGCGTCAGGCTTGAGCTGAAGAGTAGGGGAGGTGAGTTAGAAAGGAGAAGAGGGAGACACAATGTGGTTAAGCCACAAACTTGCGTCCCAGGGCCTTGGCAATGGATGAGACTAGGGATGTCTTGCCCACTCCAGGAGGGCCCACGAAGCACAGCACAGGGCCGGTGGCGTCAGGCTTAAGCTGGAAGGTTAGGGGAGGACAGGGGACCGGAGAAAGACCAAAGGAGAAGAGAGAAGATGAGGGAGACACAAACTTGCGTCCCAGGGCCTTGGCGATGGAGGAGACAAGCGAGGTCTTGCCCACGCCAGGGGGGCCCACAAAGCACAGCACAGGACCTGTAGCATCAGGCTTGAGCTGGAGCACAAGAAGAAGAGGGAGACACAAAGGGGGCTAAGCTGCAAAGGCGGGTTGGAGGAGACTAGAGAGGTCTTGCCCAGGGCCTGTAGTGTCAGGCTTGAGCTGGAGAGGAGGGAGGGGCACACAGAGGGTTGCCACAACAGGAAGGGACAGGACACAAGAGGCAGCAGCAGCAGCATTAGTTACCTTACCCATGTCGCTACATCCCACCCCTCCCCACCCCACCCCACCGCACACCACCGCACTCACTCACCTTCCTGACGGCGATGTACTCGAGAATGCGCTGCTTCACCCTCTCCAGCCCAAAGTGCTCCCTGTCCAGCTGCTCCCTCGCTGCCGCCACGTCTATCACCGCGCTGCTGCTGCTGCTGCTGCTGCTGCTGCTGCTGCTGCTGCTGCTGCTGCTGCTGCTGCTGCTGCTGCTGCTGCTGCTGCTGCTGCTGCTGCTGCTGCTGCTGCTGCTGCTGCTGCTGCTGCTGCTGCTGCTGCTGCTGCTGCTGCCACTGCTGCTGCCACCCCACCCCACCCCACCTCACCCCACCCCACCGCACCCCACCGCACTCACTCACCTTCCTGACGGCGATGTACTCGAGAATGCGCTGCTTCACCCTCTCCAGCCCAAAGTGCTCCCTGTCCAGCTGCTCCCTCGCTGCTGCCACGTCTATCACCGCGCTGCTGCTGCTGCTGCTGCTGCTGCTGCCCCACCCCACCCCACCGCACCCTACCGCACCCCACCCCACCTCACCCCACCCCACCGCACTCCACCGCACCCCACCGCACTCACTCACCTTCCTGACAGCAATGTATTCTAGAATGCGCTGCTTCACCCTCTCCAGCCCAAAGTGCTCCCTGTCCAGCTGCTCCCTCGCTGCCGCCACGTCTATCACCGCGCCGCTGCTGCTGCCACCAGCACCACCACCAGCAGCACCAGCAGCAGTAACGGGAGACGATATGCCCCAGGGGAGGTCGCTCAGAAGCTCCAGGTACTGACGGGTTGTGCTGTAGCCCGACTGCTGCGGCTGCATCTTGCGGAGGCGCCTATCAGGGGGAATACAGGTGAGAGGTAGATGCAGGGATAAGAAGATCAGTGCACTGCTGCTGCCAGCACCACCACCACCAGCCGCAGCACCAGCAGCAGTAACGGGAGACGATATGCCCCAGGGGAGGTCGCTCAGAAGCTCCAGGTACTGACGGGTTGTGCTGTAGCCCGGCTGCTGCGGCTGCATCTTGCGGAGGCGCCTATCAGGGGGAATACAGGTGAGAGGTAGATGCAGGGATAAGAAGATCAGTGCACTGCTGCTGCCAGCACCACCACCACCAGCCGCAGCACCAGCAGCAGTGATGGGAGACGATATGCCCCAGGGGAGGTCGCTCAGGAGCTCCAGGTACTGCCGCGTTGTGCTGTAGCCTGGCTGCTGCGGCTGCATCTTGCGAAGACGTCTGTAAGGGGGGATGGAGCAGCAGAAGAAGAGGAGAATCTGGCATCAGTGTTGCTCGATAAATGCACCAGCACCACCAGCACCACCACCAACACCACCAACACCACCACCAGCACCAGCACCACCACCACCACCACCAGCAGCAGCAGTAACGGGAGACGAAATTTCCCAGGGGAGGTCGCTTAATAGCTCCAGGTACTGCCGCGTTGTGCTGTAACCTGGCTGCTGCGGCTGCATCTTGCGAAGGCGCCTGTCAGGGGGATGAAACAGAGATGAGAGGGAGCAGCCAGGATGAATAGGATCAGCCAAAGCATTTGTCCTGTAAGCGTGAAACGCTATTGAGAAGGTTTGAGGGGGACTGATGGGATCGATTAAGCTACCCGTGGTTGCTGCCATTGCGGCCTAGAACAACAACACTAAGGAAAAATACACCTGAAACTTTCATGGCCGCTAAGTTCAGCTAAAAGCATCCTAGTTCCACCCAACCTTTTCCACACATAGTGGGTCGACAGGGGGCCGATAACGGGCCGAAAGGGGCCGACAGGGGCCGACAGGGGCCCATAAGGGCATCTTGACCTGCTTGCTTCATGCGTCTCTCGAGGACTGCCTCCCATCTCTCAGAGCTTGGCTGTCACACGCAGGAGGGCCTTGGAACCACAATGCCCCACCCGTCAACCTACTTGAGCTCTCTCCGCATGTGGCACCACACGTTGGACGGCATCTTCACCTCCTTGCTTCATGCGCCTCTCTCAATAACCATCTCCCATATAAGAACCACCATACCCCCACAAACCCCCCCTCAATAAACTTACTTGAGCTCTCTCCGCATGTGGCGCCACACGTTGGACGGCATCTTGACCTCATTCATGCGCCTCTATGAATAACCATCGCCTAGATAAGAACCATCATACCCCCACCCACAAACCCCCTCTCACTTGAGCTCTCGGCGCACGTGGCGCGACGTGTGGCGCCACGTGCTCACTTGAGCCCTCACTTGAGATGAGAGGCACGTTGGGAGGCGTCTTCACCTCCTTCACGCGCCTCTCATCTCAATCACCGCCACCAAAGTGTGTGTGTGTTTGTGTGTGTGTGCGTGCGTGTGTGTGTGTGTGTGTGTGTGTGTGTGTGTGTGTGTGTGTGTGTGCCCCCTCCAACCAACTCACTTGAGCTCGCGGCACACGTGGCGCCACACATTAGGCGGCATCTTGACCTCCTTCATGCGCCTCTTAAGCACTTGCCCCTATCCCCCAGCGATAGGACCTCTTGGATGTCATAGGTTGGGCCTTGGAAGAACCATGATGCCCCGTCAACTCACTTCAATTCGCGCCGCACGTGGGGCCACACGTTGGGCGGCATCTTGACCTCCCTCATTCATGCGCCTCTCAAGCACTTTAACCCCCAATCCCCCAGAGCCTGTCTGTCGCAGGTAGGACCTCAGAACAACCACAGTGCCCCATCTACTCACTTCAATTCACGGCGCACGTGGCGCCACACGTTGGGCGGCATCTTGACTTCCTTCATGCGCCTTTCAAGCACTGCCACGTCATCATCATCGTCATCATCCTCCTCCTCCTCCTCGTCCCCCTCCTCGCCATCCCCTGCCGCCCCTCGCTCCTTCCCCTCGCCTTCCCCACTGCCCTTCCCTCCAGAAGCGGTAGAGGAGGAGGAGGAGGGGGGAGGGGGGCCGAGCTGGAGCAAAGGGGGTTTGGAGGAGGAAGGGATTTTTTTCTTCTTGCTGCCGCTGCTGGCTTGCTGCACCAGGCGAAGCTTCTGCAATGGATGGGAGAAAAGGAGAAAGGCAGGAATGATTTATACAGGAGAGGAGGAGGAAGGGGGTTTTTTCTTCTTGCTGCCGCTTCTGCCTTGCTGCACCAGGCGGGCGGAGCTTCTGCAATGGAGGGTTTAACAAAGGGAGAACTTCAGAATTGATTGGAAACAGGGGAGAGGGGCCTACCTAGGTGCAGCGAAGGGGGTTTGGAGGAGGGGGAAAGGGGTTTCTCCTTCTTTCAGCCGCTGCTGCTGCTGCCTTGCTGCACCAGGCGGGCAGGGCTTCTGCAATGGAGGGACGAAAGAAAGGGGAGCTTAGGAGAAAAGGAAAGGCTTCTTCTTCTTGCTGCCACTGTTGCAAACCCTCAGTCCCTGCCGATTCATACCTCTGAGTGCAGTGAGAGCACTCACCAGCGAGCTGAAGCCTCCTCCACGCGACCAGCATCGCTAGGCGCGCTAGTTTTGAGACGTCTCAAGTCCAGCATCGCCAGGCGCGCTACCAGCCCGCCCCAAGGCTTTCAAACACCGCGCTGTCTTCCAATTCAACCCTTTTAAACCACACTGACAATACCTCGAGGTGCAGGGAGGGAAATAATGGCAGCAGCGAGCTGCAGCCTCATCCGCGGGTTCACCGCATCCAGCATGGCCAGGCTCACTGCCAGCCCACCCTCCAGCCTCCAGGCACCGCACTAAAACCCTTTTAGCCCCTTTAAACAACACCTTTACACCGACAATACCTCCAGGTGCAGGGAAATAATAGCAGCAGCGAGCTGCAGCAGCCTCATCCGCGGGTTGACTGCGTCCAGCATCGCCAGGCGCGCTGCTAACCCGCCCCAAGTCCTTTAACCAGTACACACTCTCAAGTGAAAACACACTCCCCCCTGAAGAAACACCTCCAAGTGCAGGGAGATGATAGCGGCAGCCAGTTGAAGCCTCATCCGCGGATTCACCGCGTCCAGCATCGCCAGGCGCGCTGCTAGCCCGCCCCAAGTCCTTTAACCAGTACACACTCTCAAGTGAAAACACACTCCCCCCTGAAGACACACCTCCAAGTGCAGGGAGATGATAGCGGCAGCCAGTTGAAGCCTCATCCGCGGATTCACCGCGTCCAGCATCGCCAGGCGCGCTGCCAGCCCGCCCTCCACGCTGGCCACGAGTATGTCTGCCAGCCTCTGTATCTCCCCAGCCGATGCCTGCTGGGACTCTGCTGCCACCTTCCTCAGCCCTGTCACCTGCCGCTGCTTCTCCTGGGAGTGGGAAAGGGGAGATGGGGCAGTAAATGAGTGAGCTGCCAGCCTGCCAGCCCGCGCTCCACGCTGGCCACGAGCACGTGGGTGGAGGGGGCAAGGGGGATTGGAACAAGGAGAGGGGTAAGGAGAGCGGGAGTGGATGGAAAGAATGCGAGCTCCTCGAGGAGATGGTGGCAGTAGCAGCACGTCTGCTAGCCTCGGCATGATCGTTGTGCCTCAGAATGCGACTTATTCTTTCCTGGGTTGGGTGCCTCAATAATAAAGCCCCCTGATACACTCACCTGCTCAATCACCCGCGCCAGCTCCTCCACCACTCGCAGCAGCTGCCTTCCCAGCTGCCTCACCTTGAATAGACTCAGAAGAAGCCACCTATTTATGTCATCGTTAACCCTCAGCAACCAAACCCCTTCTCACCTGCTCCATCACCCGCGCCAGCTCCTCCACCACTCGCAGCAGCTGCCTTCCCAGCCGCCGAACCTCGTCGTCCCCTCGCACGCGGTCCACCTCTGTGGGTTGACGAGGGGAGGAGTTGAAGTAATGAGCCGGATATTCACATCACAGCATCCTGCCATCACCTCGCACCCAATCTTCCTCTGTAGGGATGAAGAGGCGACGCGAGGAATGAAGACGGACGAAAAAGAGGCTATGATGAATCGAGGAGCAAGATATCATAGAGACACGTGCGTAACCTCAGTGCTTCCTCGCACGCGGTTTGCCTCTGTGGGGAGTAGAAAATCGAGGCACGAGGCACTTTTGAGAATTCTCCAGCCATGAGACTAGGCGAGCTGCAGCTTAGGAGAATTCTTCTCCATATAAAATCCGCGGGAAAGTAATCGTGTTCTCTGAATTCGAGGCACGAGGCACTTTTGAGAATTCTCAAAAGTGCCAGGAATCGTGCACGGACACACACACACACACACACACACACACCCACCCACACACACACACACACACCCACACCCACACACACACACACACACACACACACACACACGACTCTTACTCAACTACGAAATTCTGGTATGAGCTTTAGCCCTTCCAAACTCATAATGCAAACCTGAAGGAAGTTTTGAGACGTCTTAAAACTGGTGCCTTTGACTAACCCTGTGGTGTGGCATCCAGTTGGGACACCCGAGCCACGTGGTACGGCCCTCGAGAGTTGATGGAGAGGATGGCAAAGCGACACACGCCCTGGGGCGAGGAGAGGAGGAAGGGGAGGAGAGGGTGAGGCAAGTAAGTCGCCTCAAGATCCCAACAGGCGAGTTGCTGTAAGATGCCTTACGACTCCGACAATGTGTACGGCCCTCGCGAGTTGATGGAGAGGATGGCAAAGCGACACACGCCCTGAGTGCGATGAGAGGAGAGGAGAGCGTGGGGGTGGGGGAGGGGGAGAAGAGGTTCAGGTGAGTCTGAGACGAATCAGGTCAGCGCGGCAGGGCTGCTGCAAGTTGGTGGAGTAAGGGCAAAGCGATGCACGCCCCGCCCTGGGAGGCCAAAGAGGAGAGTTGTGCCAGCCAGGACGTGGCGAGCATCGCTTGGGTAACGAGGTGACGACTTTTGAGTCGACTCAAAAGTCACCCTGGGAGGCCAAAGAGGAGCGCTGTGCCAGCAAGGGCGTGGCGAGCATCGCTTTGGTAACGAGGTGACGACTTTTGAGTCGACTCAAAAGTCACCCTGGGAGGCCAAAGAGGAGCGCTGTGCCAGCCAGGGCGTGGCGTGCATCGCTTTGGTAACGAGGTGACGACTTTTGAGTCGACTCAAAAGTCACCCTGGGAGGCCAAAGAGGAGCGCTGTGCCAGCCAGGGCGTGGCGAGCATCGCTTTGGTAACGAGGTGACGACTTTTGAGTCGACTCAAAAGTCACCCTGGGAGGCCAAAGAGGAGCGCTGTGCCAGCCAGGGCATGGCGTGCATCGCTTTGGTAACGAGGTGACGACTTTTGAGTCGACTCAAAAGTCACCCTGGGAGGCCAAAGAGGAGCGCTGTGCCAGCCAGGGCGTGGCGAGCATCGCTTTGGTAACGAGGTGACGACTTTTGAGTCGACTCAAAAGTCACCCTGGGAGGCCAAAGAGGAGCGCTGTGCCAGCCAGGGCGTGGCGTGCATCGCTTTGGTAACGAGGTGACGACTTTTGAGTCGACTCAAAAGTCACCCTGGGAGGCCAAAGAGGAGCGCTGTGCCAGCCAAGGCGTGGCGTGCATCGCTTTGCCACACCCTTGTGTTGAGCACTACTATCACTATGCACCACTACTACTCTGCATCACTCTGCACCACTATCACTATGCAACACCCTGCAGTTACATTATCCTCGCAGCAACTCTTCCACTAGCGACTTACATTTATATAAGACGGATTTACCTGCAGCATCACTGCATAGGTTGTGATAAACTGAAATATTTCAATGAGTAGGAAAAAGGGGTTTACATAGTCTGGACGAATAGATGGGGTTGGGTCAAGCCGTGGCACAATTTTGACCCCCTCCAATCAGTTGGAGGCTCACAAAAATGTGAGGGGCCAATTACCGTGGTCAAGTGGGAGCACAATCACAGGGCCCTCCAATAATTGTGAACCCAACAATTCGGGTTTGTTTGGGGACACAGCACAGGGAGGAGTCAAGGTTTGTTAGGCCCAACCCCTCAACAAGGAGTCAAGGTTGTTTGGCCCAACCCCTCAACTAGGAGTCAAGGTTTGTTTGGCCCAACCCCTCAACTAGGAGTCAAGGTTTGTTTCCCTAGGTTTACACCCAAGATAAGCTTGAGTGTGGGCCTGTGGCGCATGTCACAAATCGGCACAAAATGACCTCACTTGCAGCACCATCGCATAGGTCACCCAGCCTGTGGGCCTCTCCACGCCCTTAGCCACATACACACAGACTGCTGCACCCTGCAGTTATCAGCACAAAATGACCTCACCTGCAGCACCACCACATAGGTCACCCGGCCTGTGGGCCTCTCCGCGCCCTTAGCCACATACACACAGACTGCTGCACCCTGCAGTTATCACCACAGAGAGAACTCACCTGCAGCACCACCGCATAGGTCACCCGGCCTGTGGGCCTCTCCACGCCCTTGGCCACATGCAGCGCCCGTGCTGCCACACCCCTGGGGGGGAAGAGAAGTGCCGGGGCAGTCATACGACGAGGAATGGTGGGAGGGAGGCGAGGAGGTTGGGCTTGCACGGATGAGGAACAGGGGGAAGCGGAAAAAAGAAGGGCCGTTCTCCACACCAAGGCACCCGGCTCGTGGGCCTCTCCACGGCCTTAGCCACATGCAGCGCCCGTGCTGCCACACCCTTGGGAGAGGGAGAAGGAGCCGGGGGGAGGTACATGGAAGGAAGGAGGGACGGTTTGCACAGGTTTGGAGGAGAAGCGGCTACTTTGGCCACCTGCAGCGTTTGTGCTGCCACTGTCACGTCCCTGGAAGCCGCAGCAGTAAGCCAACCCACCTAAGGTGCCACTTCACGCCTTCCAGCAGTGACCTCGGCGTTCCCCCCGTCAACCCCTGCAAGCATTCAGCTGCACCAATATAACATACCGATAGGGCTGTGAAGGCTGTAAGGGTTGTGAGAGATGTGACGGTTGGGAGAGGTGTGAGGGTTGTGAGAGGTGTGAGGGTTGTGAGAGGTGTGAGGGTTGTGAGAGATGTGAGGGTTGTGAGAGATGTGAGGGTTGTGAGAGATGTGAGGGTTGTGAGAGATGTGAGGGTTGTGAGAGATGTGAGGGTTGTGAGAGATGTGAGGGTTGTGAGAGATGTGAGGGTTGTGAGAGATGTGAGGGTTGTGAGAGATGTGAGGGTTGTGAGGGCTTTTGTGAGAGCACCTGCAGCATCAGCCCACCTGGGGTGCCACTTCACGTCTTCCAGCAGCAGCTTCGCCGTTCCCCCCGTCACCTCCTCTGGTCCGCTGGGCCCCCACACGCGCACTACCGCCTTTCCCTCTGCCGCCCCTTCCCCTCCTCCTGCCTTCTCTCCAGTCCCTCCCGTCCCTCCTGCTCCTCCTTCCGCATTTCCATCACCTCCATTAGCAGCATCGTTACTAGTAGCAGCACTGCCACTAGCAGCAGCACCGCTTCCAGTGCTATCCGCGGAACCAGGAGGCTCTATAACAGGTACGATTCCAATCAGCGCGGGCTTGTCCTTTTGCCACAGCTCCTGCTCCACCAACCGCACGCTGCCACGTGGAGGGGGGAACGGGAGCAGACGTAAACATTCAGATCAGGTGATTCGGTACTACTACTAGGTACTATGGACCACCCCGCATATGCTACACCCTCAGGACGACTCTCCACCCACCTGCTGGGGTCGGAGCACGTGATGCGGATTATTCGCCCCCGCAGCAGCATGCGGTTGCGGTACGGCAGAATGGCCAGCCGCTTCGGCTTGTCTTGAGTGGACCCAAAAGTAGCTCTGGGGACTTACACGAAACGACCTACTCGGCAAAGGCAGTAATATCTGCTGGGGTCGGAGCACGTGATGCGGATGATGGCCCCGGGCAGCAGCACGCGCTTGCGGAACGGCAGGATGGCCAGCCGCTCTGGCAGCTCCACGCACAGCGGATCCTCCGCCGCTGCCCCTCCAACCCACGCCATTGCGTACTCTTTGAGGTCTGGGAAAATACGAACCTGCTGGGGTCGGAGCACGTGATTCGGACAATGGCCCCGGGCAGCAGCACGCGGTTGCGGAACGGCAGGATGGCGAGTCGCTCCGGGAGCTCCACGCACAGCGGATCCTCCCCCGCCGCGCCTCCGTCCGACGCCATTGGTTAGGACTGCTGCTGCTCCTCCTACTGCTGTGGTCGTGAAGGCGTTCTTTGGAACAGCGACGAGCAACGCGGTGCAGCGCGACGAAGAATGCGAGACGCGGCGAAAGATGCGAAACGCGACGAAGAATGCGAAACGCGACGGCGAACAACGCGAACGCGACGAACAATGCGAAGCGTGATGCTCTCTCCGAAGCGAGCTGGACTAACGACCAAGAGAGCTAGAATCCGCTAGCTAGGCTATACCAGACGCACGGCTCGGAGCAGTATATTCCTAACCGGCTCGCCCCTCGGTCCGTCACTGGCTAACGGTCAGATCAGACGGCCTCCATAGATGCCGACTATCCGGCTGACGCTGCGTACGGACGAGTTTCCCTCTGTGCTAGAACCGGACGAGAGAAAATGCAGCGAGAAAGAGGCCCAGAACTGGATGTTTTGAGCCTTTGAAGGGATTCAGCCTCAGTTGAGTGTCTGAACTGCTTTGACTGAGCCTCTGCCAGCCAGCACAGCAGGTGGGAGGAAAACTGCAGTGCTCTGGTGACTGACGGGATGTGACCTTGGGATTAGTCAGCCGCCAGGTTTTCGAGCTTGGCGGTGAGCCGAAGCCTTTCTGCCGCCGCTTCTACTGCCTGAGGCTGAAGGACAGGAAAGTCAGCACCAGCTTATCCGCTGCTGGTAGCGGCGGCTCGAGAAAGCAGCGGTCTAAATGTGTTCTGTCACCCATCAAAGCTGCTGGGTGATCGCAACGGGAGTTGGGGGGTAGTGGCTTTGATCGTGGTGATCAACGGTTGAATAAAAGGGTGGCCATTCCTGCTGTGGTCCCCACTCCGCGTCAGCTCCAGCATGAAGCTTGGTGGACTAGTTCCTGCTTGGAAGTTCGACCGTAGTTTGAAACGAGTGAGTCCATCAGCTCCTTGAACGGGTCCTCATCTTTCGTGGGAGCTTCGTGAAATTGCTCAATTTCAGGTACAACTGTTTGTTCTACCCGTAATATGAGTCTTTTTTTAGGGATAGGGAAATACCTGCGACACACTAACAATTCAGCTAATATAGGACCGACGCTTAGCGATCATGCATTCTGGTTCTGGTTGTAAGCATCGTCTCTCCAATTTTCAAGGCGCAGATTGGAAAGTCATGTCGGGCGTGTTCAGGGAGTCACATAAAGGCGACGACACGCTGGTCGTTTGATGAACAATTTCGGTGCGCACTTGGAAGGGAATGCGTGAACACGCCTCGGTTAGGAGCTTTTCACCGCAAGCCGCGTCAGCTCCACGACATTCCAGATTCCGATTGGCCAATCAGTCATTCTGAACCGAAGCCATCACCATCGGAATGCGTGACTTCCACGGCTTCTGACATGGCTTCATCGAAGTGGTCCCCCAGCCCACCATCGTTTTCAACTTTAAGCAATGACCTTGATTCAACACATTAATCAAGTCGTCGCGTATTAACGAGTTCCTCAATACGCCGGTTCCTAACACTTCCACCGTCAAGCTCCAGGTGTGCCGTCCAGATGCCTCTTACCCGCCGTGTCCTTCGGGGAACGGCAGTAACTTAAGACACAGTAAAGCGTACCAAGAGTCCATGGAGCACCGCTGCGACTTTCGCAGCGACGTTCGCCGCCGCTCAAGAGGCGCTCGGTTGAGTGAAACAGAGAGCAGAGACGATCCGAGTGTTAGGTTTTTTAGGCCCCTCAAGAATCGGATCGACTCTAGAGTACATCGCGCTTCTAACACGCAAGGCCATGTCATGCGGAACGCGGCGCTGTTTATTAAAAGTTTTTGAACCATATCGCGATTCGAAGTCGCAGGACCATGTTTAGCACGGCCGCGCGGTTGACGGAGAGACAGGGGAGGAGCGGAACGACGCGTCTCGAGTACCTTCAGGTAGGCTTCGATTGCATTCTACTCCGTAAATACGAGTGTGCGTTCGGGATTACGAGTCTGGTGGGGAGCTCGGAGATCCAGGATATCCTGGTGAAGACATGGAAGGTTCTAAGAACCCGGTGGTGTCAGAACATTTCAGGATAGTGCTGGTGGCACCACCACATTTGGTGATAATTATCGAGTCCTAAGGCGTCTCAAAGTGACCAGCACTTTCCCTCTCAACCTCTGACTTCTTCCTATAAAACTCCACTTTCGCCTTCTCCTCTCGACTTGTGGGGGCAAGAATGAGACACCAGGCTCCGGACAACCCAGCCGTCCTTGCAATCAGCCAATTTTTTAGCGAATCGCTAACCTAGCGAACTATATTTGCTTACGCAAGGTGAGCGGTTGAGGTGGTGCTGGTGTGATTGTATGGAAGCTATATTGAAGCTGTGTGACTGTACTGAAAGGTGGGTGAGCAACCTGGCAAAATTCGTATGAAAGGACTCGATCAGCTATGACTATCTGTGCAAGGTGATTGGTTGACGTTGTGTGGGTGTGATTGTATTAAGGCGTCGACTCTCAAACCTAACCTAGCGAATTCGGCTGATGGACCGATCAATTATGACTACCTTCACATGGTGATAACAGCTGTGTGTGATTGTATCGAAACTGTTTTGAAGCTGTATGACTGTATTGGGATGTCCTATTATCAAACTGGCCAATTTCGCTATGACCCGATCAGCTATATGGCTAACTGCGGAAGGTGATTGTAGCTGGGCGGGTGTGACTTTGATGAAGTTGCGTGACTGTACTGAAAGGTTCTATAAGCAATATGGCCATGTGCCTATGACCCGATCAACTATGGCTACCTGCGCAAGGTGGGTGGTTGTTGCTTTCTGGGTGTGACTGTATCGAAGCTGCGTGACTCTACTGAAACGCCTTATTAGCAACCTGGTCAATTTCGCCTATGACCCGATCAATTATGGCTACCTGCACAAGGTGATTATTGGTGGCTGTATCGAGGCTATGTGACTGTAATGAAACTGTATCGAAACTGAATGTAGAAGCAAGTTGTATTTTTCCCCACTTGCCATCCTTCACTTTCCAGTGCTAGGTGCCTGCATTTGCAGATTGATTCTGTACGTAAACCATTCACCTTACCTTCAACTCTCCATCTGTTCTACCCTCCTCTCCTCTCCCTGCATCTGAAACGTCTGTGAGGCATCCATCTCCTGTGTTCCATCTGTTCCCCCTCCTCTTTCTGAAGCCCAGCTGAACGTGTTGGAGCTCTTTCTCGACTGTTTGACGGAGGAGAATGCAAGGCTCGTTCAGTTTGGCATGGGAGGGCTGTGCAACGCCACTGCAGGTAGGGGCACTGCCTTTCCTCCTTTCATTCTGAGCCCAGCTGAGCGTGTTGGAGCTCTTTCTGGACTGTTTGACCGAGGAGAATGCTAAGCTCGTTGACTTTGGCATGGGAGGCTCTGTAATGCTGTCGCAGGTAGGGGAAATTACAGAGCACAAAGAATAATTGAGCTTCGGATACAATAAGGAAAGTGACATGAAGTAGAGCTTATTCTTCCTCCTTCCACAGTAGTTATCGCTTTACTGAGAGCTAACTTATATACCGCATTTTTTGTTGATCCAAATGAAGAACCTTTGCACTCAATAAGCAGGCTCGATTTTGATCCACAGTGCTGTGAATTATGACCTACAGGGTGGGCTTACTTTTGAGATGTCTCAAACGACTTTTGAGACGTCTCGGAAATTTTGATCCACAGTGCTGTGAATTATGACCCACAGGGTGGGTCATAATTTTTCGTTGCGGTTTGGTTTTGAATGGTCCATCCTGGTGTGCAATGGTCTAAAGCGATGAAAGCCAAAACTATGCCCAAGCTTAACTTACCGCATTCAACCACGTCAACCAAACCCGGAACAAAAAAGTATGACCCGCCTTTAGCAGCTATGTATGTCTATGATGAGAAGGATAATGAGTTGTAGCAATTCAACATATAAATATATTCGCCATTTTGTTTTTCGTTGCCGTGATCTGTCCTGCACTGTCCCCAGATGCTGCCAACTTATCAGCGATCGATTGCCACTGCAGACAACGTCCCCCTGATAGTTGATTGCTTGTCAAGCACAGTTGAGAGCACCGTACGCTATGAAATACATGTTCACTTTATCTCTTGCCATTGTTGTGTCTGTCTTGTTTCATCTTCGTCTCTTTTTTTTCTTTTTTTTTCTTTATATATATATATATATATATATGTGCATGTCTACTACGGTCTATACTGTCAAGATCCTAGTGCTAGTTAGGCATAGTGGCCATGGTAGCTTAGGAGAAGTTCGAGTTGAAGGGTGAGGAAAGTATCGAGTAAGTTTTGAAAGAGAATGAGGAGTTTCACTATAGAAAGTTGTACAAGATATAGTGAAGGAAAAGGGTGCACCACCTAACATGAAAGCGATATAACTACACTAGGTCTACACTACAGGCAGTTATAGTAATGTATACAATTACGTTCTGACATATACTGCCTATTCGGACCTGTCTCGAATGCATCAAAATCTTTTCCCCTCCCGTCTATCACGGCCTGGGCCGAGTCTCTAGTAGTCACTCTGCTCTTTTCATGTTTTTGCCTCTCCTCCTATGGGTTGATCTCTTCCCCTCTGTACCCCTGTACAAGTCTTGTCTGCGCTTACTACATTTGCACTCCTCCTGTCTATTGCAGTCCAGGCAGTGTCTATAGTCACTCTGCTCTATCTCTCCTTCTGTTCTTCTACCTATGAAGTTGCTCCCTAAGTATCCCTTCAGGTCTTGTCTGTGCTTGCCTGCCTTTACTACATTTACACTCCTCGCACCCGATCAGGTATGTCACCCCGTTCATACGCCAATACAATGTAACGTTGATTGTATCATCATAGTCATTTCTTCCCCCTAGATTCTCACTTCCCCTCCATACCCGATCATGTATGCCACACCATTCATACACCAGTATGGATCAGTATATGCCTTTAAAACTTCCAAGGTAGGGCATCAAAGTGCCTCCCTATGGTCATGCCTGTTTTGCACAAATCAGTGTCTATTTTCCACGTTGACTCGTTTCATCCTCGTGTTTTTCCTACACATTGGAC